ATAAAAAGGGAATTCCCCTAAATTATTTGTGTGGGTTGACAGTGTTATTAATGTTTTCATCAATTTGTCAGATATCAATATCTGCATATTATTATTTATCGATATGCGTTTTTTTGATTCGCGATTGTGAACTTCGAGTCAAGATTTTTTTTCGAGAACGGTTAAAAAGTTAATGTGTCAGGAGTAAGTAAGCGTATGTCAATAAAGTTCAAAGGACATCGCCGAAAATGGCCCCAATACCATTAAATATTAATGCTTCAATAATAATTACTAATTTAATTATTAAATTGGAATCAAATATTTATTTGACACGGACAAGCTGCGATCCAAAATTAATATTTAAAAGTACTTTAACAGTAACATTTTTATTCGCAAATATTCACATTCAATATACTTAAATTCTATTGAGTCAGATGGATGTAATTTACACGTCAGATCAAGAAGATCATTTATTTTTATTAGATAACCTTTAAATCAACGAACACAAAAACATTAAATTAAATTGACCGAAAATAAACTTAAATTCACTTAAAGCGCCATCTCTTGGTGATTTTCCAACTAAAACATAAGGACATAAAAACTGAATATTATACAAACTAAATTCATTAACAGTTGATAATTCACTCTTGTTTATTCAGAAAGATTGATATTCATACGACATATCCTAAAAACTACTTTGTTTCTATTACATTACCTTTATATTTCTCGTAAACATATTAACATCATGTCATTTATGTATTTAAGGCGCCATCTTTTGATGAAAACCATCAAAAAGCTATACGTTTTTTTAATTTTAAGCTTATCAATAGGTATATTATTTAACTATTAGAATGATTTATTTGTCTATTGATTGACTTAGAAACTTTTACAAATCATAACGAAAAACCGACTTTCTGAAAGTTGAGTTTTTTGCTTCGACAATAAAGACATCAATATCATATCATGTAGTTAGAGTACCATCTCTTGGTGGTTTTCCAAACAAATTATAACCTCAAAATGAATTATATTTTGCGTGTTAATAAGTTCTAAAACGTGGTCGCGGTATAATAAATACATAATGAGAATTAGTTAGTGACACACAATAAAATAAGTATTTTCCTATATTTTTTGGCTCTGGGGCCACCAATGTATGGACGTTGAGCAATGTCCTTTATTTTATTATGGTACATATACATAGTTACGTAAAGAAATCTTTAGATTTCGGCTACACACAATATAACTTAAAATACCGTGAAAAATACAAGTCACATGCGGTAGGGGCCATCCATTAATTACGTGATGTTTTTTGTCAATTTTTTAAACCGTCAAATGTGATAACACTGGCCGCGATAAAATGTTTGCCGGGGATTCCCCAACGACGTCTTGTATCGTATCATTACGTTTCGCTTTCCTTTTACTTGTAACGTTGTCAGTGAACAGTGAGTACCTACTTGAGTACAATATTACATAAATAAATTAAAAAACAAAAAAAGAAGAAACCCAGTGAAGCATTAAAACGCAAACAACGCCAAGAAAGAGAAGAAAGTAAACAAAAATTGCCCAAAATTCACAAGTTTTTTAGTCAGCCTTCTGCAAGTACTTCTGGACAAAATATTTCTATTGAAAATTTTTGTAAATAGCTTGCATGGCGATAGGTTAAATAACAGTAAGCTGGTGCAACGTATCTACGAATAAATAAATATCTAATAGACCCTTGAATCTTTTCTATTTCGTTTTATTACCCAATACCTACACCAAGTATAAAAATAATTGTAATTTATGTTGTTAGTGTTTAATAGTTTTATTACCTGCCCATGCACGAAAAAGAGCTGTCGATTATGTATATTTATGCAGTATATGTATATTTAATGATTTTACTTCAAAAAACCTTAACAGTTTTGATAGCAGTGGGCCCCATTTTTTGTTTGCCCCAGGGTTTGCCTAGCTACGCCACTGGTTTCGTTATGTCTGTCTGTCCGTCGGTCTGCGGTTTAGCTCAAAAACGATTTGTGAAAGGTGTAATTTAGCATGGTTTACACTTTAATTATGGCGACAAAGTAGTAAAATAAAATCTGTCGTAAAATAAGGTTTCGTCTGTCTGGGAGAGGGTCTCGATATACCCGAGCCTCTCCAATTTACTTGAATGTCCTGGTGACTCGGCCATAGTTTGCCAGGTTTCATCTCCCATGTGAGGGTATACCGTAAGGGTTTTGATGGGTAGGCCTCCAGGACCCACTGGGCAGTTCACTGTCGGGTTCACGGAGGTGAATCCTACTCACCCCCTGTTGCTTGCCAGGTAACAGGGCTAATGTCAGAAGCTTTTCCGCGACGTCCAAAAATTTAGATTCAACGTAAGGACAACTCGAGTTATTTTTTTTTTCTCTCATCACTATTTTTTTTTACATACAAATTGCTTTAGATACCTACTTCAAAGTTGATATTTTCAGTCTTCACTGGAAACACTGATTTATTCATAGGTCACAAGACTCATATAATATTACATGAGTCTGAAGGTCGGTTCAGAGTAGCTCGGTGGCGTAGTGATTAAGCGCCATGGCCCTCGATTGTTATTGTTAAGCAACTTTCGCAGGTGTCAGTCGGGATGAGTGACCAAAAAATTATTATCTCACTCAAGCTACTCTGAGCTTCGGAAGGCACGTTAAGCGATTGGTCCCAGTTTTATTTGCAGTCGTTAATACCCTCTAATCCGCATTGGACCAGCATGGAAGGACGTGGTCCATCCTCCTTAACCGTCCATAAAGAAGGCCTGAGCTCCTGCAATTGGTGAGGTAAAAGAGCTGATGACAATGATAAGGATGAGAGCTATTCAAATCTGACTCAAGCTCAGTTCTCGGAAGTATGTGTTAGAAGACGATTTTCTTCGAGTGTGCAAAGTCAAAATTAAAATATAATTTTTTTGTATATCAATAAATTAAACTCCACGTATCTTCCGTCAGACATGCACCGACCGATTTTTATTGAAAAAGAAAGAAACGAAAAAAAAGTAGAATCTTAAGCATCCACTGTCAGGAAAATCTCTTGAGCTCTAGGATAACTCATACAGCAAGCATTTGATGGTCTAACTACTGATCGTAACACACATACAGAATAGTAAGAGTATGAAACTTCCTTTGATAGAGAAATGCGCTTGGTCTCTGAAAGAGCTCGCAGTTAGCAGAATAGAGATCTAGAAAGTAGTTTCGATTTATCGCCAACCCATGCTGCCTTCATGCTCCACAGGCGTACCGTAGATAATTTTTTACAGTATATAATGAACTAGCAGTTTTCCCGCGACTTTGCCGCAAAATTATAGCCAATAACATCCGCGTCTGATGTAGCTTCCCGTAGGTTGGAATCGCCCCGAAACCATCCTCTTTAAAATATTAGTATAGATTAGGTATAAGAGGTCCGATGGCGTAGAGGGTAAGCGTATTCGGTTTAAATTGCAATTAAATAAGTAAGTAAATATTTTCTATTGCCGAACAAGGACATACATATATACTTATTTTAGACATAGGAAAAAAGGATTCTAGTAATATACTTCCCACGCAGACGAAGTTGCGGGCACAGCTAGTATATGATATATTACGGGACGTAACTTTGACATGTCTGCCCTGAGGTGTGACCTCTCCTTTAGGACCCAGGAAAACCATATCTCTTGAACCATTAGGACTCATTCACCTACGCAAAGTCTCGACTACATCGGAACCCTCTGTTCGAACGGCGAACATCACTCAATATCCAGTACGAAGTACTTAGGTCCTGTAACACGTGATGGCGGAAACAAAACTCTAGCGATTGCTGAATCTGGATGTATTTCTCCCACTAAATAAAAGGTCTGGTTCAAGAATTAATATATGTATTTCCAAACATATCGAAACTCTTTTAAGAGATTATTTTATTCAACTCGCGACACCATTTTTTTTATAGCGCAGGAGAAATGCATCTTAAGCCTTAAACCAGGGCTCTCCAACCCCGCACCCGTTGGAAAGAGCCCACCAGGTCCAGCTCCCCACCCCCTCCCCTCTCTTGCGGGCAGGCAAAAGATCAGGGAACCTGACCGCCGTTTCTTAAGACAGTAGACCGACCCCTCTTCTTCTTCTTCTTGACGACGGGTATTTTCCGCAACTCGACGCTTGGTGCCTGTTTTGCGTACAAACAGTGGAGACCTTAGTCCTGCCAGACCGACTTCTCTTACCGTCTTCTTGATTGATTAGTACTGCCCGGGCCTCCCACCTGGGCCTCCTAGGGCTAGCCCCATGGCTGTCCCCTCGGGCTTTCCTCAGAGTACTCTTCTGCTCGCGGCCTACGAGCCCCGTTGCCACCGCCGTTGGCGCCGTCTAGGGCGCTCTACGCAACTCGCAACACATACAAAGACGTGCTGAAAGACCACGATTCTCACGATTGTGCTGTCTAAACAGTTTATTTTATTATTATATTTTGCGAAGTACTTTAATACCTGGTGCCATCTTAACAGGTGTTGTAAACCATTGCACAGAGTTCTGAGTCGTCATTATAAAACTCTTGCAAGCTTTTGTTACGGGTTCTTAAACTATTATCAGAAATAAGAGTTACATATGGTTTGTAACAAATACTTTCTTTTTATAAGAGTGTTGAACGTATCGACCTTCTTGAATATATAGTACTCCTGGGGAAATGCTTTAAGACTCTTAAAGCATTTCTCTAGGCTCTTTATAAGAGCAATAGATTAAATAACGGCATCAATTAACATAGCCCCAAATTTATGGTTAGCGGTCGTGTGATCTATTGTTTTCACGACACGTATATATTTAATAAAAAATCCTTTAGATCCCTTCCTTTGTAATCCATTACTTAAAATCAAACAAAAGTTCAATAAATCCGGGTTGACTCTAACCATTGCTCTAGCAAGTATAATTTTGTAGGCTTTTTGCACCTTTAAGTTTTATGTTAATTCGCAGTAATTGATAAGTAAACGAATCCTAACTGACTGCTTCATTTCATTCCTTTGTTGTCTTTGTCATACTCACAGATTAAATATTTCAAAAACAATATAAAAAGGAAGCAAAGAATTTTTCGTAATCACTATGACTCGTAGTACAGGAAATCCTGAAATGAGAAAAAGGAAAATTTTAAAATTTGCCGTTGAAGTTAGCATGATATTTTTAGTTTCACCGTTTATTTACGACAAATAATGGAATGCATATTTTTTAGTTTGTTTCCATTTAAAGGTTTTTTCGTGCTAATTTCCATTAAAATTGGCATTCATCTGGTTTACATGCACGTGGAAAAATACAGAAATCAATTTTTATAAAAAAATACTATAATATATTAATGGTTAATTTATACAATACTTTACTTTGTTTGTCCACTATTGTCATGCCAACTTCAAAGAGCTCCTCAGCACGCATAACATAATGAACTCTAGAAATGCATTCTCTAAATCCAAATGTTTTCAGATCGCGAGTGAAATATCTCCTATACGATCATGGCAAACTGGAGAAATATACATAATCTTAAATGCATAAAAATGTAACTCGAGTCGCAGCCTTCATGTTACGCATGCAAAACTAGAATTGATCAGAATAATTCCAAATCTGACGGTGAACTTACGCCTAATATACTTACTACTAGCTCACCGCTTGCTCTGCGTCTATTTCAGAATCTCATATTTTTTATGATTATAATAATAAAATATTTAACATCCATTGAGAACAGACAGAAGAATGAGCACATTAGAGGAAGTTAAAATAAACACCAGTGCCAGAAAAATTGAGGAACAACAAATTATCTTGGTGATTAGAAGAGATGAGATGATGATTTCGATGAAATCTGAAGAGAGGATGAATAGAATGTGGAAAAGATGACATTAGCAAGAAATGAGTTAATGTCAAGATGATGACTGCATAGAAATAGAATACATATTAAGCAGACTCCAACTAAATGATTGGGAAACTGACAAGGGAATGAGGCGTACCGAGGATAGGCAGAAAGTACGTTTTCTTTTGATATAGTTTTCTAATACTAGTAAATATTGAAATAGTACTGGGAATACTCATTGTTCTTGAAATCTTTTCTTTTTTTCATGGTCATAATGTAATGCGTAATAGTGGGCAAAACCTTCAACGTGCACAATATTAGCGTATGTGTCGTCAGCTAAAACTAGTATAGCTTTACACATCAGGTAAGAAATATTATATGTACTCACAATGAGTAAGCAAGTTCCTATGATTGCAGCCTTGTAGCGCACGTCCAAGTCTGTCGGGAAGTTTATGTTGAAGTAGTCTTTGTTACTAAACGCCTCCTGAGCCCATCCGCCCCAAAGCTTGCGAATCACGCCTATACGTTGCTTGCTAGGAGTAAATATCTGGAAGCGAATTGCATAAAATTTTTAAATTAGCGTAGTTGGTTGAAATCCTATTGAGCAAACAAATAACAGTGCGTCATAACAAACACTGAACATAATAAACAAACGTAACAGCTTATGTCTTTCCGAGTAGCTCGGTGGCGTAGTGTAGTGGATAAGGGCCGCGGGCCTCAATCGATGGTGAACAAAAAATCAGTAGCTCGAGCTACTTCGTGCTTCGGAAGGCACGTGAAGCCGTTGATCCCGGCTGCATTTGCAGTCGTTAATACCCTCCAATCCGCATTAGGCCAGCGTGGAGGATCATGGCCAATGCTCCATCCTTAACCATCCATAAGGAAGGCCAGCAAGCCTAATTGCTAACACAACCGACAACTTAAGTTCGTAATGACCGTAAAAAAGCATATCATTTCCGCCGTAGACTAGCTGGATCAAAGCTTCACCCACCTCAAAGTCACATTCTCCTATTATTATAGCTGGTGCTTTAACTTTTAACACGAGACGGTCTTGGGGATCGTTGATGTTCAGCATTGCTTTCATGAACGTGACCTTCTGGCGCACTATGCTGACCACCTGATTGCATACCTTCACTTCCATCTTATCAGGCCCGAAGGTGTATGGTCGACGAAGTGAGATCACCTGGAATACACAAATAATTTAATTTAGAATGAGAATAAAATGTCTTAAAACTTTTTTTGGATAATAAATTAAAAACAGTGTTGATAACTTAGTAAAACACGGCCATAATTTTACTGATTTCAATGGCTGCTATGTAACGCTCAATCTTGCACTAAGCGCTTTGAATGATGGCCCAATCATTTTAAACGAGTGAAGATAGAAAAATATCCAATTCACATCAGAAAATAAACTTCTACAGAATATGAAGGATGTTTATTTATCTGTTATATTCTTAGCTAATCGCAAAGAAAACCTAGATTGTCTATCGGTAATTTTAAAATACACAATCAGATGCAGTTCTTGGTGACTACTTTATAAAATCGTATTATACGCAAGTATTTAGCGTTTCTGTTTTGATAATATCTAGAGTAAGTACTCCAATGAATATACTATTAATGGGATTTGAATCATAAAAAATTAGGATCGTTTTTTTATTGCATTGTCATAACATTGCAACCTATTTATACTTATATTGCTGAATTTGAAACATCGTTCCAAAGTAAAAAAAAAATAGGCATATAACAAAACTCACACAAAAGTTGCTACTGGAGATTTTGTTGTATTTTGATAAGACCTTACATAATTAGACGTAGTTACTCAAAAAGGTTCCAACACACAAATTCGTCGAAAATGAATTAAGTATACCAAAATGTCCATCAGGATCGATACTTTCATATAGGAAAAAAACTCTGAGCTGTATTAAATTTTTGACCTTTTTTTATAGGTTCATATTTTAGTTCCATGAAAACGACTCAAGCTTCTTGGATCCATATAGTAAAATAGCAAATTAAAGGCTCTAATCTTGGTTAAAAATCACAATAAAGGTTCAAAACGCTTGAATCGTTTTTGTTAAAAGGTAATTTTATTAAAAGTTGTAGGATTTTAGATAGTGAGAATACATTTGACATTAAAAATTAAAACAATAAATATAAAGAACCTTTAATAAATAGTTTTTTCGATAACATTTTGGCGTTTCGGTTAATTATTGTATTATTTCTTCATTTGGATCGTTTTTGAGATTTGATTTGTAAGAATAAGGTTATTAAAACCTAAATATATGAAAAGGATCCAAACATACTTCAACCTTTATATTTTAATAAATATTGTTAGTTCCGTTAAAATGACATTATAATAAGATAATGTAAGTGGTTTTGTATACTATTAGATAAAAATATAATACACAAAAATTTTACATCAACATGCAAATACAGCTTAAACTTCAATCGTCTATATCTCAGAAGTGACATTGTGTGGGATGGATCCTTTTTGATTTACTACATCAAATTAGCATTAAGCAAAAGAGCTAAGGTCATAATAACAAAATAAATATGGATAAGCAAATTTACATGTTGAAACATTAATGCTTATCAGCGTCCAACTATAAGAACTATTGTTGATTTATATAAAAAAATATATTTTCAGAATGATCCGTTTAACATTTTAAGAGGAAAAATTAGGATAGCTATTTTATAAAAAGACATCACAAGAAAAAAACTCTATTTCTAGCCTATCGCTTTTGTAACGAAACAGATTAGTTATAAAAACAGATTAGTTATAGCTTTCTGAGCTATCAACTCTTTAACGAAATACATAATAACTTATTTGTTTAAAAAATAGTCTGACAAAATTAAAGTTTGCATGTTTAATAGAAAGGCTAATACGTTTACTGTGTTGTGTGACTAGATATTAGTGATACAAGACGCTACGCAAACTATGAGTAAGATACGCTTGATGTTTAATAAACGAGAATTGAAAGGATACTTTGCGCAGACAGCCGGGTCAAAGACCTCTGAAGGTCACACGAGGAGTTTGATGGCGCAGTAGTTAGGAGGCCAGGAGAGATTCAGGCCGGTCATAGAATGGGTGACCGAAAATTTGTTGTCTTTAGCTCCTCCATGCTTCAGAAGCCGTTCTTTTGCATCTGTAGTCTTTAACACCCACCAATTTTGCTGTCTATTCCATCAGTCTATTATTCCATTTCGGCTGTCTCAGTTCAAAACCTAGTAACTGTTTTGGACTAAATTTTACAGGAGAGCAAAAAAACTCTTTTTAGGGTAGCTCTTTTAAACTATTTAACACCTGTTGAGAAATTATTATTTACAAGAAGGAGTAGTTTGAAACTGTTAATTTGATATATAAATTATTTGTCTAAGATTCATTCTACAAATTATATGAGCTAAAATAATTTTAACAATAAAACGTCTAAGTAAAAATTGACTTCCAAAACCATTTCAAACCTAGTAAGTTCTTTTACTAGATTTTGATCTGGTTTAACATATTAGCTAAAAATCAGCTTATCCAGATCAAAAGCTAGTAAATTCAAATTTATACAGCCATTTACACATGTATTTGTGTTTCATTAGGCGGTATTCATTTGTTTTTTTTTCTTCTATTTGTTCTATTTACGTCACCCAGTATTAAATATGGAAAAATGAAATATCGTGTTATTTACGAGTACGAGTTCCACTATGGTACCAAAGAACAATGGTCAAAATGGACTACGAAAAAAAAAGTTCTTGTACCAAGATGGAACTATCACCAAAATGTAGTATAAGTTGAATGTAATTATTATATACCAACAATTTATTTTTAAAAGCTGGGAAAAGAAAGATAATCCTCTCTAAAATATGTCTTTATTTTTTAGAACGCAGTTTAAATTATGTTATTTTTGAACGCATCTTATTAATAATGTCATTCCTAGAGAAGTCCCTCTCTTTTCAAAGAACAAGATCGATTTTATGTCTGACTAATCGAATTTGATACAAATCTTATATTATTTACTAACCATATAAATCCGTGAAAATTATAAAACTTAGATTAGATTACTAATATAATTAGATGTTACTTAGAGGAAAATAGTTTATTTATATGAAATTAAAAACAAATGATTATTCAAAATAATCAATATTATAGTATTCAATCGATTGCGACCTCTCTTTTTTAGACAAGTATGTGTAGACCATAGAATTTATAAGTACTAGTTGTACGTAGTACTTATTAATTCTATGGTGTAGACGTGTTTCTACGCAGACCGTTTTGTAACTTTGGCGGTGATTCTGTATTACTGGGAGCATACTAGGTTCCATGGCCAGTATAGAATTGAGGTCTGGAGAGAAATAGCGGATTCTCTGGATTTATTAGAATTAGACTTAAATATAAATAAAGTCCTAATTATAAGGGGTAGAATTAAGTCGAGACATTGGGAGGAAACAATATTATGTGTACATTTAAAAAAATAATGACACATCCGGGTTAGATGGAGAACACTGCTGTAATTGTCTTATTGGTCGATGTACACTGGGATGCTGTGCTCATATAATGACCATAGTTTGGTATCTTGGATGGGCCAGACACAAACAAAATGTAGCTGCTCCTGCAGCATTCTGTGATGAGGTATTCATTAGAGTTGTAATAAAGAAAAAAAAATCAACATGTTGTTTTGCTATATCCTTTTGAAATTAGTATTTTCACTACTACTTTATATAAGTTATAGTGTAAGATAGAAAAGAAGAGTTATTGAGAGCAATCTTTAAAATTATATTTATTTTTTTTGATGTTCATTGGTTCACAAAAAATGATTTTATTTCTTACAGTCAATAAAAGTAATATATCAGATATGAAGCAAGTTTGAAGTATTAAGTGAAAGTATGCACTTCTAGGACTACGATTAGGCATTATCTGACGTGTGCTTTACATATTTCAACTGTAATATCTCTAACTCAAAACGATACAGTTTAAATAATACGACATAACCTCAAAAACATATTACACAATTACTCGATACTCCCAGCTTTTAAAAATATATTTAATGTCTTTCTTTGTTCTAGTTGCATAGGCAAACAAAATAACATATGTTTCATCAAGTTACGTTTTATTCGATTTTACTAGTCCAAGCATGTTAGGCAGATGGCCATTGTTCTTTACGTCTTCTTTAGAATGAAATTTTAATTTCCGCTAATATAGCTCCCAAGAAGTTATAGTGGTTTAAGTTAAATACTCAAAATGGGCATAAGTTAGACGACATAAGTTTGGGAACCTCTGTTCTTTTTGTTAAGTCGAAATATCTTCTGGCACTTCAGTACCTTTATGTGTATTTCTCTTAATTTCTACTTCAAAAAATGAACAATCCGCGCACTTATTGTCTTTTGGCATATTAAATGAAATATTAAGTCTTTTAATTGTTTGTCGATAAACTTCTACATTACAGCGAAAATCTTTACCTTTACTACTATTATAAACTTAGTTAGCAAAACTTAGTAACTCAATATTTTAATGTCTTACGAAAACCACAAAATATTGTTTCTATACATTTATTCACTTCATAACCCAGTAACTAGATTTGACAATTTCAAAAACCTAGTATGTGCTAACACATACTAGAATTTTGAAACAGTTAAATATACATACTAGGTTTTATAATGGTTAAAACTTAACTTTTCATAAATTTAGAAGCACTTACTTGTTTAGGGTACCCTATAACTTTTGATAGAAGTGAATTTTGATACGAGGGTCAAACTGAAAGTTCTTAGAAAATCAAAAACTGATTACATTAGCCAGTTATTAGTTTTTATTATATCTTTTCAAAATATTGTCCATTCACGTCAATACACCGCTGCATGCGATGGAACCACTGGGAAAAGCACTTTGCCCACTCGTCCTTAGGGGTCTCTTCAATGGCATCGCGATACGCAGCCACCGCTTCTTCAGCATTCATAAACCGCTTTCCTTTAAGTTTTTCTTTAATTTTTGGAAATAAATAAAAATCACAAGGCGCGAGGTCGGGGCTATACGGCGGGTGACCCAGTAATTCAACGTTTGATGTCGCCAAATAGTCGATCGTTCGCTTGGCGGTGTGCGACGAGGCGTTGTCGTGGTGAAGGAGGATCCTACTGCGAGGTCGTTTCTCTCGAACTTTTTCCAAGACAAGTGGCAAACAATTGGTAGTGTACCATTCTGTTTTTTGATCCTCTAACACAATTGTTGCAAAATGACCTATCCTTCCAAAGAACGAGGCCACCATTTTTTTTCCCGCACTTCGATCTCTCTTCACTTTAGTTGGCAACTCCTCGAAAGGAAACACCCACTGAGCAGATTGTCTTTTGGTTTTAGGATCATAACAGTAAATCCAGCTTTCGTCACCTGTTAGTATGTCGAACACAGCATTTGAGTCACCTCCGTTAAATCTTTCAATCATTTTACGACACCAATCCACACGATGGAGTTTTTGAGCCTCAGTCAAATTATGAGGTATCCACCGGGCGCAAAGCTTCCTGACCGCTAAATGTTCGTGGAGGATTTTGTGCACTTGACTCATACCGATGCCTAAGCTTGTCCGAATCTGTTGATAGGTCACTCTTTTGTCAGTCTCTATCATACGCCGCACAACACAGATGTTATCTTCAGTCGTCGCCGTAGAAGGCCGTCCCTCACGTAAATCATCAGTGAGATTAGTGCGACCACGTTTAAACTCATTAAACCAGTTGTAAACAGTCGCACGAGATGGGGCTTCATCGTGAAAGGCCAATCGTAGTCTATCATAACTTTCTTGTTGACTTAAATGACATCGAAAGTCATAAAAAATCATTGCACGAAAATTTTCTCGTGTTAAATTCATGATGACGTGACACAGACAATTTTCAATTTGCCGCCAAATCGTAAAACAAATGACAAATGAATGAAATATATACTCAGTAATATTGGCAAAGAGTTATATTTTCAAATTTTAGAATTATTTTTTTATTATATTGTTTATAAGTGGCCAGTTCTAAGAACTTTCAGTTTGACCCTCGTATAGGGCATTTTGGCATCTTGTGGAGACTTATTGGAAAACCACTTTTAACAAAAAAACACAATTTCTACTTTTTGTAGACTTACTAGGTTTTGAAATGGGACAGCCGATTTAAACAGTTTTTTTTGTATGGGTTGATAATACTAACCGCTCGACTTAAATCAGTATGTTGTTCGGTTAATTTTTACTAAGCATTTTTGAAGCCGGTTTAATTTTCATCATCAGCTGTTTTACGTCCCCACTTCAGGTGGTCAGGCCTTCTTCATGAATAGTTAAGGAGGGTGGGCCATGACCATCTGCGCTGGCCCAATGTGGACTGCAAATGCAGACGGGACCAACGGCTTAAACCACGGCGAATCTTATGAAGTGCGATGCAGATATCGCGGCGCTATCTCGTGACTGTTCGATGTCAGTATAAGCTTCAGTCTTGCCGTTCATTATTGTGGCGATATAAGTTCAATCCATTAAATCCTACTTCAAAAGAAAATCATTAAGGTTTTATTTCATTGAATCTCTATGCTGTCGCAGGGCTCGAGAATGTAATATCTATAATAAGTTCGATGTATGTACTGTATATAACAGTACCTTATTATCCTGCATATCTGTGATAATGATCTCCCATGCCCTATTTTTGCCACCCAAAAAATTGAGTGAGCCAGACTCCTTGGCATTGAATAGTTCATGCTCATTGAAATCAAACACCACGTATTTGTTGCCTGAACACATTGTCCTCTTCTGCCGCACATTGACTCCATCCAGAGGTATAAGTTGACTGATCCCTGAGGAAAGAAAAAATGATATAAAACGTGACACTTGGAGAGACATAGAGGTTCAATACGGACGATGACAATTTTTTTTTGTTTGTCCGTCAGGTAGATTATTTAACAATATTGAACACGGTTTTTTTTAATTTCTTCGTAATCAATATATTACGGCGATAAATTATTTTAAAATGTCGCATAATTTCACACCTTTGTACATCTTCTACATAGTTATGACGTAATGAGACCCCACTCCTCGACTTAATTGACTATTACATAAGTCATTTCTAGTTATATTAAGGCAAAATTAGTAGATTATGCAACTGTCATATAAGAAGAGGTATTAAAACACGATAGATGGGGCGCACTATTCACGTGCTCGCGCCGTGCACCTGGAGCTCGTGGGGTCATTATCAACCGACTCCGCGCTGATGGCGGTGCGACGCATGGCCGCGCGACGAGGTTGGCCGAAGGAGATGGTCAGCGACAACGGCACCAACTTTCGCGGTGCCGACACCGAGCTACGCACCGCTTATGAAGAATAGAAGCCCGCGCTGTAAGACCTCGGGCTGCAGCGCCGCATGATATGGCGCTTCATACCACCCGGCGCGCCGAACATGGGAGGCGCATGGGAGCGGTTAATGAGGTCAATCAAAACTGCCCTCACGGCCGTCCTGCACGAAAAGGCACCTGCAGAAGAGCTACTGAAACTCTACTCATCGAGGCCGAGCACAGCGTGAACAGCCGGCCGCTCCTCACACATTCTCCGTCGATCCAAGAGATTCGGAGGCCATCACCCCCAACCACTTCCTGTTGGAATCGTCGACGGGTCTGCCACACACCGGGCCCTGCCATCCAGCCGACCGACGGACCTGGCGAGCCAGCCAGGGCCTTGCCGACGAATTTTGGAGAAGATGAGTGCGAGAATACCTGCCTACACTACACAGCCACTAGCCACAGCCGCACCAGGAGAACCGCAGCCGCAGACGGGAGACCTGGTCATCGTCGTCGACTCAACGTTGCCGCGTAACACATGGCCACGCGGTGTCATCGTGGCAACCTATCCGGGACCCTACGGCCACACACGTCCGCAGGAAGGGAGGAGTGTTTCGGCGCCCTACAAGAAAACTCGTTGTCCTTCCGAAAAGCGAGGGCTGCACCGAGGCTACGCCGGGGGGAGAGCTGTAAAGGACACCGAGCCACGCCGCGACAACAGCGCCACCAACGGAGAAACAAAGAAACCTTCCCCTCCCCGTGCGGTGCGGGGTAGCGTACCCCCACTCTAAGGAATCTAATAATAATAATAATAATTCTTTATTGAGTAACTACATAACGTAACAAATCAATTTGCCCTGTCTCCCAAATTAGGTTGCCCTGTATGTCAATAAGACTAACTGATTTATGTATGAGCTAAGTGCGATCGATCAAATTGTATATAAGAAATCGATTTTGCGCAATAAAGCATGTATATAGCATAGCGGTACTATAACGAGTTTTATAATACAGTTGGCGGTAGGTACTATAATGAGTTTTATTTATAATTGTATATATATGCGTATGAATAGAATCGTCTTCGAATTTGTAATTCGAATTTTTCTGACTGACGGTATAAATGTTTATTTTTTTACCCAGGCATCCATAATAACTTTTTATGTAGATTTTATTTATGTTTTCAACCTTTCTTATACCCTAATTACCGTTGCACCCTAAACATATAATCTTCATTATTTTTATTATTGTTCTTAGAAGAGATTGCTGCTTAGCAATATTTTTTCCAAAATGTGTATTTGTATATTACTTGTTTTCTACTGTATGCAATAAAGTATAATATTATTATTTGATTGAATATCTTTGACAGCGATATGCTTGGCGTCGAGTGCGACGCTGAATATTTACACAATACCACTGTTGGTTACCACAAAAGTGCTCCCGCCAAGTTGAGCAAAAAGTAAACAGGGCACGGTCGTCCTTTTCTCGAAGCCATTCGAGCCAATTTTGACACTTGTAACTTCGTTGTGGAATATCATAAAAGCTTAAAATGTACTTGGCAAACGCATAGGTGCATTACGGTAAAAGAATCTTACATACAACAAAATCTATCTTAGGTTAATTGATTTAAAAGTAGGTACCTATATGATAATGTGTGCGTTTGTTAAATATCCTTAAATTTATGATAAGGATGGATAGCTGCTCCCACAGAAAACTGGTTCTGATTTAATCGACTTGGTTTATGTTGATTTCATAACTTTTTACGACTAAAGAATTGCGTTGTGAGACTTGTGCATTTTTGTACATCTCATTATGTATCCTAAATATTACCTATACACTGAAACATTACCAAAATACGGTTAGGTTGAACATTTGAAAACGATAAATGCCTTTATAACATGAAAACTATGAGTTGACAAATTTTGGATATCTCTTGAACGTGTAGAAAAATAAAGCTTCTAAATTAACGCAAAGAAAATATGGCGTTTTATTCCGAAAAAATCGCAGATTTCCACAATTTCAAAAGAATTAAAATTTCAAAAGTATGAAGAAATAAGCGTTTTATAGTACAAGTTCAAGAAGAAAGTTATACATTTTTAATTAAATAATTAACATTTGAAATTGAAGCCTACTGTAAAATTGGGAATCGTATATACTGTCTATTAGACAAGTTTAATTTAATATCCCGATATAGAAACGGAATCCTAGGTTATAGAGAAATCACATGGCGCTGCGAACACGTACGTAATATTATTTGCTTATAAATATGTAAAAAAATGGAGATGTTTAGGCCGCCAGACCTATTAAGGTTAAACACACGAAATTTTAGCTGTACACGTACACAGCGAGTAAATGATAATACCAGACACTACACACTATCAGCGAATGATAGAAGATTAAATGAACTACAAAAAAAGAACGTTACTTCTTCACTGGCTTGGAGAAGAAGCCTTGACAATCGATAAAAAAGATAGATTATCATACGAACAAATACTATAGTCTCTGGAGAGCTATTGCAGTTCACCGTGCAATGAAACATTTAACATACATTTATGAATTTATAATACGTTAAGAGAATATTTGCTTAGAATGCCAGATTTGAAAATATAAAGGAAAAGGACGAAGTGAGCAAAAATAATACAAATCGAAGACAATCAAGAGATAAATATTACGAAGATAAAATAAATGATAAGACGAGAGAAAGAAACTAAGAAAAATACCATTTAAGTTACAAGATAAGATAGAGAACGATTTGGATAAGATGGAAGATCGGGAGTGGTAAGGAACCAACTGAATGGGTAACTTCAATGGTAGTAACTAAAAAATCAAGTGATAATATTAGAATATGTTTAGATTCTCAAAAAATAAACAAATATATTATTAGCGAATAACATAAGATGAGTACTTTTGAGGAGCTAGTTGCTAGTATGCCCAATGCAAAATATTCCAGTGTATTAGATTCCAGCGTCTAAAGGATATATTATGATTAAGTTAACAGATATAGTCAATTGCTTACTGCTTTTAACCCCAGGTATCGTTATCGAAGATTACCGTTCGGATTAAATTCAGCACCCAAAGTTTTTAGCAAAAGTTTCTCTGTTTTATTTACAGATATAGAGGGAGTAGAACAATACATTGACGAATTGATATTTCAGGGTGAGACATTAAATCAACATAATGAAAGAATAAAGGTGTTACAAAGGGCAAAGAAACCAAGGGTGAAATTCAATAAAGGAAACTGACAGTTTGGGGTTACCGAAGTTAAATATGTCATCATCATCATCATCATCATCATCATCCCTTTGACCTATTGTGATTATGAGTGATTTTATGTGTCAAAATGTGTACCTAATTTATCTGATATCACTTTATTTGACCGACACCAACTCGCCTGGATATAATTTTATAATAAAAAAAAAACAGTCGTTATAAAGGTATAACGGCAGAAAATATAGTTTTCTACATTGATATTTAAATTATATCTTCATGGGTATTTGTGATAATTTTACGTATGAAGTACGTACCATTTAGATTTTTAGTAGTATACTGACTAGGTATAATTTAAATAATGTAGAAGTAATTATAATCAATATTTTCTTGTAAGCTTAAAAGCTTGTAGGGCGTAAAAATATGTGTATTTCTTCGTCTCCGATTTTATTAGCTTTACAAGCTTTTCAAATCAATTATTTTTAAGACAAAATTTTGATTATAAGTACTTTAAGCTTATTCGTAGCGTTAATATTGCATAAAATTATTATAAAATTAAAAGCTTGTTTTGTCCCATTCTATTCATTACGGATATAGCATCTGTATTGCACGGTGTTTTTGCTGTTAATTTTATGTATGTAGTTGTTCACATAAAGTGCTCATTTCATTGCTATGTTCCTATGACCACCTTCCAACTCCATCATCACCAGACCTTGATCTGGAAAGCATGGGTGTAACAAGCGCATTGTCACGTGACTTACATGTCTATGGAAAATTTCAAATCTTCGAATTCCAATATTTGCGCACTAACAAAGCAAATAAAATAATAGCTTGTAAAAAAATAAACACACGAAGTATCTGCCTATTCATAAATACTGAATTACTATTACAAACCTACTCTTTTATTTATAAGTCTAACACCCGTTTTCTGTATTGAATATTTAAAGTTGAGCACATCTCAAGCTAAATTAAGCACGGAACGGAATAGTCCACCAACTGCAATCAATTTTGTTTAGCCTATGATTTGGCTAAACTTGTTTCTTTTACATTTTTGTTCGACCTTGTTTTTTAATTTTAAAATTATTTATTTATATTATATTATTTTTAGTGAACAGTTAATGATGTATACAGATTATATATTTTTAATGTACTTAACAAGACCATTAATTTAATTCCCTGGCGGTCAGTTGCACAAACGTCCATTAAGGTTAAAGGACGCCTTTAAGCTCTAATGTATGTCAAATCGATATGGGTAATGTCGTTTTAAACTAATGAAAATTTAAATGGACGTTTGTGCAACTAGTTGATATTGCTATAATTTAAATAATCATTTAAAAATATAGCCAGTGTCACTGACACCCTATGTAGTTTGTGGTCACTGGGGATGATGTTTCTAATGAAAACCTATACATTCATACCCGTTATATCTTTCAAAAGTTATGGTGCAATAAAAAAGCTCACATACATACATCAATTCTAAATACAATAGACTCCTTTTATTGGGCAGTTGTGTCAAAATGTGCCGGACCAAAAACGAATCTCACCATAGAAATACTAAAAAGAATACAAAAATTGGGAAAAGTATCAAAATAGCTTGGTCATAATTTCAACACAGTACTGTGGACTCGTGACCTTGAACAAGTTGTCGAGAAGTCGGGACGCTTAAAAATACCTAATTATACAGTGCAAATTTGTAATAGGGCTCTTAAACAGGTTTTCGTTTCGGATTTTAGTTTCTTTGATAATCTGTTGATAGCAATTTCATAAAAATTAGGACTTTTTGCCTTGTGAAAAGTAAAATACCAAAGTTATTAAGAATAATCAGTTGAGATTTTGTACTTGTCTCAATTCAGACACCGGCCGTAACTTACTTATGCAAACTTATACATCACTAGTTGTAGAATTTTATAAAAATGAATCGTCATACATACCTAAAGATGATTCACTCATTTTGATCACTCCAATTAAAAATATTTCAAATGATTATTAATATTTTTATATAAATAAGAAATATACTATGAAGAAAAATATTGTTATGGACGAATGGTTTTGACAACACTAACCGACACAAGGAGAAATTACGCCGGCGACCGATTTCCTACTAACCGCTGAATGAACGAATGAGTGAACTAGGAATTGGGAAGAACTAAAAACACATTGTCACATTCCATGCGCAAATCGCAATCAAAACGTGAACGCGACGACACCTGTGTTTGATATTCTGATTATATTATTAGAAATATAAATTGTAAGCCTTATTTTCATTCTTTTTGGGCGTCCAGAGAGTTCGAGCATTTTTTTATACTATTCGTGTCATGTTTTGTGTATTGTTTAATGCTTTTATAATCCCATGAAATTTGATAATCTAGGAATGCAATTCTTAGCCCACATGAGCTTATACTAAGCACAGAGTAAACCGGGCACTAGTGCGGCTAAGAATAGCAAACAATGTTGTATGTCGCAAAAGCAGAGAATATCACATGTCTCAATATAGAAAAAAAGTACTAAGTTTTCTTTTGCCTATCATTTGAGGTTATTGCAAAAATATTCGTTCTATTTTATAATTAGGATAATTTTTTTGGTAGGCCAATGAAAAATTATTAATTAACAATGCAAAAATCTATTTTATAATAATTTAATTTCAATAAATAGGTAATTCATGAAAACCACGTTTTACCAATCCTTTTCGACCGTAATTTTTCATAACGCTAAACAGATCACGTACGTATGAAGTCTATATCATTATATGATGCTCATTCTTTTATTTAACGCAGGGCAAATGTAACCTTTAAACTCAACTCATGCCACACAAGTAGTCCTTATTGGTCAATAGTCATCCGTGCCATATATGACGTAGACGTTTTGGTCTCGTAAGCCTTTATTTAAGGCACTTAATATTTTAAATGTAACATGTTTATATATATTTGAAATATGTGTGTTTGTCAAGAGTCACCCAAAACTGTTTACCTATAGTCTACTGTCTCTTCAATTTGTAGGTATGGAACGTATACTCAGTATTTATTATTTTAACTCTAATACATTTCAAGATATGGGAAAATAAAAAAAAACATCCTCAACTTTACATGTAGGGGAGGTACCCGATAAAAATACTTTTTTTGTATAAATTTTATTTTATCACTTTTTCGGCGTGATTTAAGTGTATACTCATGCTAAATAACACCTTTCTAATACAAATAGTTTTTGAGCTAAACCGCATACCGACGGACATGACGAAACTTTAATTGTGTTATTGACTACGGAACCACAAAATTGAAAATGAAAACGAATTTGATAAAAATCGGAAAACAATAAAGACAACAAACATAAAAAAATTAAAACGCCAGTTCAAAAATACAGTAGCGTTATTTAGCGAAAACAGCCAAGTGTAACATTTTATTTTTATTTTTTCGCCAGATTAACAATTCCTCATTAAATTATGCTTTTAGAAAAACCGCAATATCAAAAACGAAAGTTAGTTTATTTGATGACATACGGAACAAACGAAGACTACAAACTACAAAAATCAAAATCCCGTTTTAAAAGTACAGTAGTGTCATCTAGCAATCATCAGTACCGTCAGCTAAATAATATCATTTTCGTGTAATTAACCAACATATATATTATGCGTTAATATTAGCGACAACGATTGTACAGATTTGAATTATTTAAAACATTATTTAATCCTGTGTAAAGAGCTTAAATCATTTAATAATGGATTTGGAAAAGGATCACATGGAGTATAATTAATTATAAATTGAATTGTAAACAATGGTTTCTATGGTAACAATTTAATGCCCTATGGCAAACTTCCACCATCTATTTATCCCTATAAGTACTTTTATTAAGAATAAGATAGTCGCGGACTTTATTTAGAACCTTTTAAGGGGACCAATTTTGTAATACACAAAGATAGATATATATACTGTCGCGGACTTTTTAAGAACCTTTTTTAAGGGGATCAATTTTGTAATACACGATTTTTGCGTAACTTTCACCGTTTACGCAGCGCACCCAAAGAAAGCCTTAAATTATAAAAGCAAAAGATCAACAGTCGGGACCCATTTAACTTATACGGGGCTCCGTCGATTGGTCAAAAAGGAACGGGTCCTGACCACTTATGTTTTATGTGTTTAAAACTATGTCTATGTTTTAAAACTATTTCAATGGAGCAGTTACTCGCTAGTACCTACTTAATAACATTTCAAACTACTGGACTTGTTTTTTTCTTTTTAGTGAAAGTAATTATATATATTTTTTACTTCTTTTGTTTGTATTCACGCAGTCGGGTTTTTTGTTTTTTATAAATTTTAATTTTTGCCCTTTTTAACTAGTTTTCATTAACTTCGTTACTAGAACTATGAGATGGTAATCGCATCCTTTTTATTATTTATTATTAAGCAACTTGCGGTGGTGTAAATCACTGATTATTAGTCCCTTTAGAGACCTCACTTGGCTCAAAGCTACAATTGCTTGACTTTTAGCAAAAATTAGCGAACTTAAGTCTACCTCAGCTCGGTCCAAAGTAGTTCTTAGCTTAATAAATTACGAACGGCTCACTATATCAATAAAGGTCTTCGCACACTTCTAATATTTTTGAAAGACCTTACCAACAATATCACATACCATAAGAAAATCGAAAAAAATAAAAAATCATCCCCCTCTTTACATGTAGAGGAGGCACCCTGAAAGAAGAATTTGGATTACTGGAATGAGTTTGGTGACACTCGCGAGGTTAAGACAAATCGATTGATGTATATTCTCAGACCAAATATACTTTTTATTTGGTCCGAGTGTATATTCATCAAAATTGGCCAAGCCGTTTGGTCTCTGCAATGCCATAAAAAATACGTATTCGTAAACATTACCCTCTGCGTTGCAAAGTCGGGTAAAAAAGTAAAATATTCTCCAGTTTTTGCAATATTTTTCATTCTTGCTCCACTTCTATGAGTCAGGCTGTTATAATCAGTCTAAACCTAAATTCAGATTGTATAACAAAACTGCCATAACTATTAGAGAGCCGAAAGAAACGAATCCATAATTTCACAGAAATAAATCTAGTGTGCATAATTTTCACTGGTGCTGACGTTAATGTATTTATCATAGAAGCGAGTTTACGATGTAAAAACATGCACATACATTTCAAAGAATTTCACAATGATTTAGAAAAATATCATCACTCAAACGTAGAAATTAAAAAGAACGCATTTATCACTTTTATCGTGCCAATCACGGACACAGAAGTAATTATTAGTAAATAAAAAACGATCCAAACTAAAATTATTTTATTTAAAATCTATAAACGAGTTAAAATTACAAACTAATCAGTCTGACGCAATAAAAAGTATGTACGCAAATTTCAAAGAAACAAGTAAACTCTTCACGATTTTTCCTTCTCAGACGACTTATCCTGGATAGGAATAGTCCTTTCTGACAAAGGTTCCGATCTGAAGGCGACCAACTTCAGCTTGCCTTTATCCAGGTGACATTCGACGCGCTCCGGAGGGAATCCATCAGGTAACAAAAATCTACGTTCAAAATGACTCCTTGTCCATCCATCCTCACGTTTTATCTCTTTCTTCCCTTCAACCATTATCTCGTTCCCGACTGTCTTCACTTGAATCTGTTCTGGACTGAAATTCTGCACATCTAAATGCACCTCCACCTTCTTTCCATCAACCTTAACTTCGGAATCGGAATATACGCCTTCAATCCCATGATGATCTTCAGTTGGAGATGTCACTTGTTTCATATATTTCAGAGGATCTCTAAAAAATGGGTCCTTGGCGAAGACAGCGAATGGATCCTCCAAAGCCCTAATGACAGGATCACGGTAAGCCAAATTCCTCAGATGACGCATCCAATACGGCATCAAAGACATTTTGAAAACTTGTTTGTTTTTCAAAACTCGCACAAAACAATACTAACTCGCTCAACGCTTTGTCAATTCAAACTGTTTCACCTACCGCGCGCTTCGTCTCTTATATACTCCACGATAAGCGCGCTCTGTCGATGAGAAATTACAAGAGATATCGAGAATATTCGAGTAAAGCATCTAGTAACTTCTAAACGCGCTTGGTTTACAATAGAATGCAGCGTCATCTATCGTTATATAGCTGAAACGATTAGTAAACTGTGTATTTTCTAGTACTAACTAGAATATTTCTTCCCTACCTACCTGTATTTTAATGGACTATTTCATACTTTTATACCTATATGAATTAAAAACAATACATTTCAATTCACAAACTTCTACAAGTTCTTGACTTACAACAAATATTATGGAACTCGTTGGCTTACAATAAATTGCGACATCTATTGTTGAGAAGAAGAAATGACTAGCGATGCTGTGTATGTATTTTCTAGAGCTCACTGGCGTAGTCCATGCTTATAATGATAAAAATACATTTCAATAACAGTTTTCAAATAGTTCCTATATTTATTAATTTATCAAAAAAAACACGGTTATTGTCCTAAAAATAATAAATATTATCATTAGAGCCCTACAGCCAGTTGCACAAACGTCCAAACGTCGCAAAACGTTTAATTCTCTAAGATTAGCGCAGTTGCAAGAAATAAAATTAATTTTATTTAATAAAATCTTCTAACTTAATACAAAGTAAATTTTATATAACTTAAGTCTATGTAGAGCATTACATATGTATATACCTAACGTGACCAGTCGTCTCGTTTTTGGTTGTCTGTCCCGAACTCCCGGTGTCCCTAAAGATAACCGTCAAAGCACGAATGCATTTGACGGCCGCACACTGTCGATTACCTAGTAAAGCGAGGAATAAAGGTGACAAAACTGGAATAGGACAGGTTTCTCCTATGCGAAATTCATACATTTGTTTTTCCAATTACTCAATTAATATTATGTTCTGTTATAAAATATAACTTCTTATAATAAAATATGTGATCTACGGCGGATGCTGCCACACACAGAGAGATTCGCAGCTGAGTTTTATTTACTAACGATATTTAGTCCGATTCGCACCAGCCAGTATTATATGCAAGCTATGTGTTTATTTAATTAATAGGAACGAACGTCAGGTTACTCTGCTTTGATTACTTAAATGAGAATTAGGACTATTTTGCTTTGAGAATAAATAAGTATTTACTTACTACAAATCGAGTGTACAGATTGATACAATAACCAAAGCAAAATATTCGTTAAGTTATAGATATGTTATTATAATACTAACGTAGGGGCAAGACAGAAATTTAAAGTTGAGGGCAAAATGGAAGGAGTAATAAAATGAAAGTTATAACAATGAACAAAAATACTACTGTAAAAACAAAGGGACATAATTAAAGAAGGGGAGAACAGAGAATAACAGAGAAAGGTAAAGAAATAATGATTTCTCAGTTTTCCGAAGAAAATATGAAAAATCAGCTATAGAAAACTGCTTGCGATGTCTGTCCTATTGTAAATAAGTGCAGTAGCTAGAAATTGGTTGTATTTTAAGTATTAATTGCAAAACTTAAATTTGTGATATATAATTCAAGTTGCCTTTCAAGAACAACTTAATTAAAAGTCTTACGGTCAGATGCACAAACGTCCATTAAGGTTTAGTGACGCCTTAAAGCTCTAATGAATGACAAATTTGTATGGATATTGCCACTTCAAAATAATTACAATTTTAATGGACGTTTGTGCAACTGCCTATTTGCCGAGTACATGTCTATTTATTACTACACAAAATCAAAGTTATTCCTTCCATCTTTGAACTTTTTGATTTTGATTGAACCTCTATGCCAAAACAGCACTGCGCTTCTCGTTGAGTTCGAGGCTAATTTTATAACAGAATAGCACTCTGTAGTATACTATATACTACCCTTCTATGTTATTACGTAGTAATGGCTTTACGTTTATAATCATATAAAAATAGATAGCAGTTTTTATTAAATTACAGCTCAAATAGAATATTTAAACCTTTTCCTACTGAACAATACCAACTTGAGTGTTTCTTCACAAAGTATTATTCTAGCGCAGTTATTTTAAGCAAGATGAAATGTCTGATGCAATAGTATACTAAAATTAGAAAACATCTACATGTAACAGTCTAGTTATACATAAACAAGTTATTTTTAATTACCTTAATATACGTAGAGTAATTGTAGCAGAATCACTTCTATTTTGAGACGATAATATAACTTATTACCCTAGGTATATACACAAGAGATTTGATTACATTTTTGTGGACCATCGAACATTATTTTATCGTTATTTGCATATATACTAATACAATCATTATCATGAACAGCCGTACGTCGCCAACTGCTGAGCATAGATCTCCCCAATAAACCTCCACGGGCGATCGGTACTGTGCTGCCCATATCTTGCAGCTTCCCGCGTCCTTTATTAGATCGTCGGTCCCCCTGGTAGGGGGCCACTTAGCATCGTCCGGACAATGGTTGACATTCCAGAAGCTTTATGCCCCAGCGGCCATTTGTCCTTCTCTTTATGTGTCCCATCCACTGCCACTTTAGCTGACCAATCTTTCAAGCAAAGTCATTAACTAAATAAATTTATAATTTAATTTATTTAACTAAATAAATAAATTTACTGGTTGACTGGTAGAGAATGCCTATTTGGCATTAAGTCCGCCATTTGTCTATTTCTGTAGGCAAATAAGATTAAATAAATAAATAAATTAACGTTCTTTCTCCTACGGATCTCCTCATTTTTAATTCGATAACTTAGAGAAATATCAAGCATTGCAATCTCCATTGCCCGCTGGGTAACCTTGAGCCTTTTTATCATATTATAGAACTCCTCCATTCTTCTGACGGAACATTAAACCATGTAAAGTTTGGATTGATCTAATCAAAATCAAGCCCTGAATTAACTGTCTGCAGAGCAATCACGATTGCTCTAGAATCCGAGCTTCAAGGATGCAGTAGAGCCGCTGCAGTCGGTAGTATCCGCCAATTCGCACTGAGCCCGCGTAGACCCAATCTCTCTTTTTGATTCCATCTGAATATGATGCTGCTGACGATGAGGATGATGTAACATTTTTTTATAAATTTAATATTGGAATAATTCATCATTTGTTAATAAATAAATATAACGTGATTAGTATATCGTTAGCGAGTGTATTGAGACGTCATTGTGCAGTAGTTTGAACCAGATATTGTTAGGATAGTTTACCGAAATGATCAACGAACGTTAGTGGATCACGTCACGTAGACGTGATCTAGACAAACGGATATTACGTCGTAAACTTGTGAACTGTAAACACTTGGTTGTCACCAAAACTGGGAAATATTTCTTATAATAAACTTAAATGACTAGAATTGAAAGTTCTAAATTAAATGCAGAAATTTACATATTTTATATATTTGATGTACATATGTGTTTATTGCACGCGCCTTTACTAGTGTATTCTAGGACACTGTAGTGCAATACTGAAATCTCAAAGTTATAGGCGATGTTTTACTTAATTTCCCTTTTAGATAAAAAATGTCTTCTCAAAATATAATATATATTTAAGATTTTTATTTAAAACCTCAACATAAAAAGTAATAATTAAACCGTGTGAAGATAATATGATCTTTTTTCTATGATTGCTATTTTTTGATTAGTGGTGACGATATCTTCAAAAATTTATGGGAATTAGTACACAAGTGAAAAATATACTACGTCTACGATAGATATAAAGGTAGGTTATTTTGGATTTTACTAAAATCTTTATTAAATGAATCTGAAGTATTTATAAAATTTGTACTTCGTATAATTTTTCCCATGCAAACACTTCTATGCTCATTTATGTTAACATTGTGGACGAGATTTACCACTCTACTTACTTTGTATATGAAACGATAAAAAACATAAATTAAACCATGATGTACGTAGTTATGACGTAGCGAGCCCCCACTCCTCAACTTTAATATCTTATCGAACTAACGGACTAAATAGAATTCGTCTTCATCTGAAGGAAGATCAAGATAAGACTCGTTATACCCATATCCATACATACTTATAAGTAAAGGCTTTTATAAAGTAGATGATTATTTTAAGGACCGCAATGCATGGAATTAATAGCCTTCGCTTTGTTCTATAACGACTAATTATATGTACCAACCCATGTCCTACAGAGTTTGAAAATTGTTTTATTATTATTATAATACGTAGTATTATGGTAATGACAATTATGTAAATGTCAATACTTAAGATAAAGAGCTGGTAAGTTTCTTTCGTTCGTTTTTCTTGTCAACTAAAAGACGTCCTGAACGAGTGGTAGGGGAAAAAATTTGGACAATTCAAAAGTGCTTGTAGCAAGCTTACTTGAATAAAAACATTTCCATTTCATTTCACAGGCAAAATATTCAATTTAATTCTTCAACTAGTTGAAAGTAGGACTTAACACCGATTCCACTTATGATAATCTAAAGTCAGCACATATAATACATATTCCTGATTCAAAAAAGCGGTTTGCACTAGATATGTCGATTTATTTAATTTAAGAATTAGCGTTAGACGTCACAACGTGTTAATAAGTCAGCATGCAAAAGCACGTTTCAGTTGTGGAGGGGATCTTTCGATACCAATAAATACCGTAAAATACCATCTGCCATATCAGTACACAGAGACATCCAATTGGATTACCAAAAAGTATCAAAAACATACGATTTTATAATTAAAATAAATAGTTTAATTACAATTTCTTTATAAATATGGCAAATATTAAAATTGTGATCTTTGTAGCAATCTTTTGCGTAGTTTGTGGTAAACCATTAGAATACTCCGAAAATGATGGTAAGCATATTATGTTTTATAGTTATAATTTAAAAATATGAATTTTGAAAAAACCCTACCTGACTAGAAGACCAAAGTCCAACCTTATTGGGTCTAGGAAATTGACACAACTGGGTCTAGGAAATCACTAAGGGGTTTTTAGAAATTCGACCCTTAAGGGTTAAAAAAGGGTTATGTTTGTATCGAAATTCATCATGTTTTAAATTAGAATAATTAACATTAAAATTTATTTGCATATTTCTTAATCGTTTAAAAAATAACTTTCTACGAGTTATGAAATGCAAAAGTAACTTCGTAACCGCAAAAAGGATTAGTAACTAGCTGTGTTTTTATAATTATTAAAAATTCTATTTGTTTTGTTTTTTCTAGATCCAACAACGAATCATGAAAAATCTCATACAATTCAGAGACGTTTTGTAAATACCGCTCTAACATCAGGCGGTTTTGACAACGATGAATTCAACCGTATGAGAGTTAAAAGAAGGTAAATTCATTATTAACTTTACAATTCTGTAATGACCGGTGCAATAAACGAATACCTTTTAATTTTAAAATGTACCGTGATATTACCATGTGTCGTGAACAAATTGTGGGTTCGATTTCCAGCTGGAATCATTTACAATACGCTCTATATTTATTAATATCATGCATGCGCCCTCAGACCAAATAAAAAGCATGCGCCTATCAAAAAGTAAATGACCCAAAACTACCTACCTTCATTGTTCTGAATTTCTATGTTTTAATTAGATCTAAACAAGCGCCTAGATAATATTTTTTTACCAACTATCTCAAGTAAAATCGTCAAACGTTTGTCTTTTTGTTAAAATAATCCAACATATTTTTGTCTTTTCTTTACAGTGAAGAATATGACGACTGTGAAAAACTTCAGCTGTGTAAGCTTCACGCACATTCGAGGCATAGCTTCTTGGCAGCTTTCGAGTTATACTTTGTAAAGTAAGTTATATTCTCATTAGAATAATAATAAATCGTTATAGTCTTATATATCCGCAGATAAAACAATAACACAAATGTAATAAATTCATGACGCTCCTATAAGCGTAAAGAACTAATACTTTCCATCTAGCGGGAAGTAGGGGAACTATAACTTATAGCATTCCATATACTACTAAAATCGCATTAATACTTATAAACATCACAGATGGCGTTGTTGTACTAAACAAATTGGTAGCCAATACCGCGAATCTCAAATCAAAATGAGGTCTAAAATATGTTTATATATTTTCATGTTTTCTTGTTATAGCAAAGAAAACGCCAGGCTATGGGACCACCACGCGCGCTCAAGCAAAGACTGTGAACGACGGTTCAGCTGTTATAAAAAGTGAAAATACATTGTGACACAGTACGAGCACGGAATTTAATTATAAGGCAAAATAGTTTAAAATAATTCATAAGTTAACAAAAATGTGATATTTGTTAGTAATTCACTTCTTACAGGGACTTAGATTTTATAAGGAAAACTTCGACATAACGTGTTAGTTTATTAAAACGCATTTATTTTTAAAACAATCCGTTTTATTTCACTTTACCACTTATGGATCATAAAATTGAAATATAAATGCATAAATCATATTTTTAAACGAAATAACCTTTAAATAATAAATAACATCTATCATACATACTCCATGTACTTTTCAAGATATCTGAATAAATTAGGATAATGTAACAAACCATTATTACATTTTGTTCTAAAACATTTCACCACACCAAAATACTAAACTAAAAATATTATTCTCAGTAATCAAAACAAAGTAAAATAAATACATTTTCTAAAAAAATATATTTTGTCCATTTCGAATACTGAGATGGTATCTCATAGTGAGAATAGGGATGAGGATTAAGTAAAAAAGAAAGAAATTCTATTTAGTGCATCAGTCAGATAATAGAAAAATATGAGATACGTATTTTTTTACATCATTTAACAAGATATAGCTTAGATAACAGACATTAAAGTTGAGGAGTGGGGGCTCACTACGATACAGTTTTGTAGAAAATGTACAAAAGCGTGACGTCATGTGACATTTTAACTCAATGTATCGCCGTGATTTATAATGATTACGGAAAAAATAAAAATAGGTGTTTAATATTTTTCAACAATCTACCTGACGGGCAAACAAAAATTAGTCGACATCCCTATTGTAAATTCTACAAGTACGACAAATTAACACAAAAGCTGTGGATTGTCTAATTTCAAAATCTATCTCAATCGCTTTCTAAGGTAAAGCTATCTCAATGATAACGACTTTGAACCTTAGATAATTCCCTGTTATGTAAAGTTTAAAGTCGTAAACGCTTTTGGACCGAATGATAATTTAAAAATTTTGAATATTAAATTTATTTTTAGATTTTTTAACTTATTGTTGAATGGTATTTTTTTTTTGTTAAATTTCATGTATATCTATAAAATAAAAATATTTAAAAAAAATGTCTACACCCCTATTTGCTCCCGATATCATGGTAACTCATTCGAGTTGTAAGTTTAAATTTGACTTTTTTATTTAATATTCGCCAAAATCGTAATAATAACGTTTGAGATAGTAATTTCTTTAAATAATTCGTAAGCAGTCACAACTATAATTTCTACCTATCCTAATCATCATAAACTAAAGGTACCTTTTGTATACAATCAATTTAATTTTACCAATATTGATAATATTTTTTGGAATGTGAACCCTGTTTACAACTTCATAAGGATTATGATGATTAGTGCATAATTTATAATAGTTTTTCCAACGATCTCACAAAATTCACACGTATGAACTATTTTATTTTAAATAGGCTATACCACTTTTTAAAATAAAATAGTACATACGTAACGCCAGGTTTATGTTAGCATTAATTAAAACACAAATGGTTCTTTAGCTAATGGCGTCATAAGTAAGTATATTTCTATTCTTGAATAAATTGATATTTTAAATACTAAATTGCAGCAATTAACTGCGAATCCAATAGTATAATATCAACAAAAAAACACACGTAAATTATTGATGATTTTTAAGATGATAATCTATCAATATGCCATCATATAACCCAGAGCTAACAGCGGATCAGTCTATTGTTGTTTTTTCTTAGAAGTACGTTTACCCGCCGCGTTAACAGCGCTGACTATGTGATCTATACTAGCCGCGTCCAACACGTCGGGGCGGGCGACCCCCCTCGTACCCCCTCTACCCCCCGTACTCGCTCCACCCCCTACGCCCACGCTCAGTGACATCACACGTGCTAGTAACGCATCCCGATGCATATACGCCAACGCTAAGAGACCTAACAAGGGAACAACTAAGAAAGAGGTCTGCCGGAGCTCCTGATCTGATGATTTTACCTGTTAAAGAAAAATATTGTTAACTTCGTTTATTCGCTATTATCGGCAAACGATCAGAGTAAATAGGTTGATTTTTGTTAGGTGTTATTCTTGTTCATAGAAAGAATATTATGGATGTCTTATCCATAATATTCTTTTCATGATATCCGGATTCAACCGAATATTATATATATTGGTAGTAATAACACTACTTGTTTCAAAATTGAAAAAGATGTCAAAACTATTCACATGTATTAAATAGTTAATGATTGCTACGATCCACTTAACTATTGCTATAAATTTCATTATTTGGTAATAAAACTTATAGTGGAGCTTTTTCTTTTTAAAATAATCATTCAACTTCGAAGGAATGTCCATATTAATGTATACGTTAATTTATCTGAAATATTAAAATAAAGCAGGACTAAGGCGTTTACATCCTCAGTTAGTCTTGTTCTAAATTACGCATGTTGTATTATACCTCTCATTTGGTGCAGTAGTAAACCAAGTAAAACATTATTGCGTTTTATCAAATATCACATTATCAAGGTCAGTTGCACAAGTCCATTAGGTTTTAATGACCCCTTTAAGCTCAATGTTTGTCAAATTTGTATTAATAATGTCGCTTTAAACTAAAGTCAATTTTAATGTTAGTTTGTGCAGACGGCTATAAAAGTTGCAAACGGAATCTAATATTAAATAAATATCAATACCAACCTTCGGCTTAAACTCTATATCGAAAGTCTTGTAATTGCCATCGGATTCGAAGTATATGATCGTATCTTCATAAGTGTGCGTTGCTTTCGATAAAGTCGACTCTAATTGGAGTACATAAGTGGCATTATCGGCCGGCAGTCTCGGTAACACAAGCATAACGCCCGGGTTGTCTTGACCGTTGGGTGGATCTAATTTTGCCGCGTATATATGAGAGTGTGGCGCTTTTTCTGTTGCTAGAGTAAGACGCAACATTTTATAGTGCGCAGGCGCAGCGTGTATTAGAACACTACCATCTGTCAGCTGACGGGGCTGGACCGCTATTAGAATTACGTTTTCGATGTCTTTATTGTTCTTCACCTGTAGAAAAAAGGCTATTTTCATAAAACAACAAAAAACATCTTGAAAACATATTGGCTCGGATCGATGAAAGGTTGTTCGCTCTGTAGCTCAGAATAAATAAGTTAACAAGTGGATATATTTTAATTTTATTTATGATATACTAGCTGTTTTCCCGTAACTTTGCCTGCGTAAATTATAGCCTATGTCACTCGTGTATGACCAAGAAACGACGTACAAGTCATCAGCACAAGCATTTCATTACACATACAATTTAAGTAGTTATTTTTTAAATACATCAGGGCTCAGGTCTTTCGATGAAATCAAATAGGGAGAACGGACCATGACCCATCACGCGGGCCCAATGAGGATTGGTGGATGACTGCAGTTGAAGCCGGGATCAACGGCTTGACATGCCTTCCGAAACACGTAGGAACTCGAAATAACGAAATTTTGGTCATCCATCCTATGACCAGCCATTACGAAAATTGTTTAACAACAAATCGTTGAATATTGATATACTAACCTCCAGCGTAGACGGAGCTTTCGCTAGTTTAAGCCCTACCAGTTCTGGTAAACTGGACTCCTTCAGTTGGATTGTGTATACGCAGCTGGGTAATAAGCCGCGTATCCTACACGTTACAAAAAAATCGATTATTATTTTTTCTTGAAAAGCTTTATTTCATACGACAATCAATATTTCACACTTGAAATTAAACACGTGGATACCGCGTCAATATCACATATTGACCTAACCATAGATAAGGAGTCTGAGGAATCTGCTGAAACATTCTATTCCATATGGTCAGAGCTATATCTACCAATAGGGGGAGTTGTTTTCGAAACTGTGAACTGTGAAATTTTCACAGATAATGTATTTCAGTTCCCGCTTCAACAACAAATACTAAAAAAATGAATAAAATAAATATTTTAGGAGGCCCATACAACAAACGTGAATTTTTTGCTCGTTTCGCTACGGAACCCTTCGCGAGTCCGACTCGCACGTGACCAGGTTTTTTTATGATGGGGACCTTAAATAAACATTTAGGACCACTAACGATATGCTTAAATGAGTTTAATGAACTGTTATTGACATTTACAGTAAAATAAATACCTGAAAGCACCGCTAGATTCAGTAGTCGCCTCCTCCGGTAAGCAACTAGCCGGCGATTCAGGTTTGGGAACCGCTGCAACCACCGCGCCCGCCCATCCCATCCCACCCAATGACATCAATCGTCCGACACACGACCACGCCACGCGTTCGCCGCTAAAATGTTGCAAATTGGCATTATGCTAAATTTTTTATTAGATTTACAATATATGTGTACACACTCAAATCTTTCAACAGAATTTAAAAGCAGTTATTTTTAACCTATCAAACTGAAATTTTGCAAACAAATTCAAATTTTGATAATAGTTTCAATTTTGTTGTAATTTTATATACTACAAAATAATAATTTTACTTATGCAATACGCAGTTTAACAGGAAAAATCTAATATTTCGTCTGATTTGTGCAACAGAATCGCTACCAATGATTACCTAAGTTATATCATTTTAAATCCAATATGGTGGACAGCAAAAGATGACCTAGTTATATTCATGTACACCGTCATGCCTTGTTATTACCCAATTCGTGTTTAACTAATGGAAAATTTCTTCAACTTAAAAATTATATCTTAACTACAATTTCAGGTTTGTAATTAAAAATATAGTTAAGATCCAATTTTTTTTTGCCGACGGTACCAGTTTATGTGTTAATTACGTCATTTTGAAGCTAACTATATACTATATTCAGTAATAGGAAAGACAAACATACGTGAGCTCCAAATGTCTCGCTTCACCATCGGGCAGAGGCACGATGGTGTGAGGTGGATGGAATCTGTACTCCTTCATGTTTGGCTTCACGTAGTACTGGTCGGGAGCCAAAGCGGCGAAACGTAATCTGCCCGCCGCGTCCGTTACCGCTGTACGACGGTACGAACCGCCGCTCACCGATACAAGACCGCCCTGTATACAAAACATTACGATATGACCAGCGTTTTATTGGTAGAAAGTTATAGTATATAGCCTAGTTATCTAGTCTAGTCTCTGAAAATATTTTATGCTATCAACAATCTGCGCAGTCGAAAGATTCATTCGTAGGTAAAACAAAATGTTATATAGTACAATTTAAAAAAAAAAAACAGGTTAATTTATATCTTTTGCTATTATAAAGAACAAAAATTGCAAGACTAAAAATATAAATTATTTCAAATGAGAAATAATGAAAAAGTGGTGAATTTTGGCGAAAAATTAAGAACAAACTAGTAATAAAATGTTCAGAAATATTTTAATACAAAGATTTAACTGATGCGAAATATGTTTAATGAAAATCTTAAAAAATCCACCAGCCCCAAGTACCCCCGAGATTTTACAGACATGAGCAAAAATATATATCAGTATGGCATTGTGAATGTAAAATTAATCAAATATAATAATTTAAACAGCTTATTTTATTTTATTGGGTGACTAAAAACTTAGTATCACAACCTCTGTACTTCGAAAGGCACGTTAAGCCGTTGCATGGTCCCGGCTGCATTTGCAGTCGTTAATACTTACTGCACTAAGCCCGCGTGGTAGGTCATTCCCTATTCGATTCATCTACAGGGATGATATGGGAACGAATTTTGATGAAATTTGGTACATGGATAATTAAACCCCTGAATTTACCAATAAAGCCCCTTCTATATATTTTTTTTTTAATAATTTTTAAATCAAAATCAAAATTATTTATTCAGTCTAGGCTGTTACAAGCCCTTGTGGAAGTCGAGAGCTACACCATCGGTTCGTAAATCTACGGCGGGAGACCTTTTACCGAGAAAAACCGGCAAGAAACTCGGCAAGGACTGCTTTTATTTCATACAGAGCGTCAAGATTGAAAAATGACTTCATTAAAATCTGAAGTCCCTTTCCATTGCAATATTATATATTAGAGTCTATGACTACATGCCTATGATTAGATACATCTATTCATTCTTACCTGTAGCGGTGTTTTGTCAACACGATCTAGAAGTTGCACTGTGATCTCGGCTAATTTCCGAGCGGAGATGATACCGTTCTCGTCAGGCTCACTGAACACGTAAGACTCGAGTTCAGCCGTCACCGTGTACTTCTTAGACGCATCCAGGGGACCGAAGCTATATTTGCCATCCTCTGTTGTAATATGGGTTTGTTTCACTCCGTCTACAAAGAATGATTGAATAACTGACAATTATATTATCTTATATAGGACATTTTTATCGGTTTCTTGTCAGTGAAAATGATAAAAAAAAAATAAAGTAATTAAAAATAAAACAAGAAGGTAAAGAAAATCTTTTAAGTTTTATTCAACATGATCATGGTCTGCAGGAATAATTGTGTCATCTAAAAACTCGGCAGTGGCATCTATTTGCTCTTGATGCTTGGCCCAAGACAAAAAATATACTATGCTGGCTATATGCGTGCAGCATCCAATGGTGCGACGGCCATGAATACAAGAGCAGTAGTAACCGTCGATACTCTCTCTACCCTGTCTTGTCGGGTTCACTAATATGTACGTTCTTTGCGCACATACCAAAAACTGCACAAACGTTTATTTTACACACTTAATGCTTCACTGAAATTGTTTTATTTACGCATTTTTACGCATTAATATATATTTATTACATTTTATTCCCAATGGTTTAAACAAAAGTAACTATTTGTAATGAAATGTGGGTTAATACTTAACAATTTAAAACTAATTTGGTTTTTGTAGGATAACTTTAGTTAACCGGGTCAGATTTCGCTCAATGACCTTTAGTTCGCAAGATTTGACCATACACTAATATGGTAAGTTAAATAACAACTTAAAAAGAAATTAGTGTCCAACCGAAAGTTCGGTTTCGGTTTCGATCCTTTCGGCAAAAAAAAAGAACAGGTTTCGGTTTAGTTTCTCTTTCAGTGGCAAACCTAGAAAAATCAATTGAAATCGAGCAGAACCCCTACTGCGGACCGAACAGGCAACAACAACTAACTGGCTACGGTATATTATGTTGTTAGTGTAACGTTACCGGCGGTGAGTGTGACGTGCACGCCGGGCACGGGTGGGCGGAGCGCCCCCGCCAGCGTGAGCGCTCTGCGGGCACGGAACGTGAGCGCGTTGGGCTGACACGAGCCCCGCCCCCACACCTGCTGCGGCTGCTGCGGGTCGAACAGCAGCGACGACGAACTAGCGGACACCACGCCCACCTCGCCCTGACGCAACGTACAATCATCGTCAGTCAAACTTGTGCTGTCTGAACAATACCTTATTATTGAATTGAATTGAAAACGTTTATTGAACACGCACACAATAGGGATGATGACTGGGTAAAAAAAATGCAATTCTATTTAGTCCGTCAGTCAGATAATAGAAAAATATTAGATACGTATATTTTTTACTTCAATTTAACAAGAAATAGTATAAATAACAGGCATTAAAGTTGAGGAGTGGGGGCTCGCTACGTCACAGTTGAGTAGAAAACGTACTCTAACGTGACGTCATGCGAAATTTCAACTCCATGTAACGCCGTAATTTTATGATTACGAAAAAATAAAAAAATACGTGTTTAATATTTTTTAACACTCTACCTGACGGACAAACAAACAAAAATTAGTCATCATCCCTATTACATATTACACATTAATAGATATTGCACATTAATTATAATTTAACACAGAGTGCACCCGGTGTGGTGTCCAAAAGGTGACAGCTCGACATGTGTTACAGATAACTGCAACGTCGATTTTCCCAAGTGGTGAGTGGTGACGTAATGCCCAATAATAATAAGATACGAGTGTTAGTGATCGTCATTAAAAAGAAAACGATTAAATCTATAAGGTTTAAATAATGATAATAATCAAATATAATATCATAATAAAACATAAGAGACTGAAGTGATCATGGGGTATTTATTAAACTTTTTTAAAGCGAGGGAAATGAAACCTTAACCCGTCCTGAAAAGGACAGGCTTAAGCGAGGCCGAACTACCTGATTGAACCCGCTGCGAGCCCCCTGGAGGGTGGATGACCCGGGACCCGACAAAGATCCCAACGGGTCCAACCCCACCCTACTTACCTTCTATATCTTACGAAACTACAATACTCAGTCATGGCTGGTTTACACGTAATTTAGTAGATAAGTAGTAAGTAGATTTTAAATAACGTACACACACGTAAGTAAAAAGTTAAAAATGAATTCTAATTAAGCTTATAACTAGTTAATTATATTTTAACTTGCTACTTATTACTTTTTGTGTTTTTACACGTACTTAATCACTAAAAATTATGTTAAATATCTACTTATCTACATAATCACGTGTAAACCAGCCATTAGGTATATCTGACGTGACCAAACCATTTTTCGGTTTTCTGTCGCAGATTCCCCGTACACAAAACAGACGCATAGTGTATATCATTTAATAAATTAAAAAACGTCAATGAGAACAGAGCCATCTGAAGATCTAGCTACAAAATAATAAGAATTAAAAGTAACAACAGCGTCATCTATGAATTATATCTATAGTAAATGGGCATCTGTTTATAACTAATCTGAAAAGTGTGGTCGCAACGAAATCAAACACAAAATATACTAACTACCTATTGTGTTTTTGACGGATGTACCGTCAGATTAGAACCAATCTTTAAACCAATAATTGTCGTTTACTTTATATTAGCAAATAAAAAAGACTCACATCAGCCATATACATAGTATGCTCGTATGCGAATCCGCCATCAGGATGAGGACTAGGTTTGAGAGGTCCCACAGGCATTGCTCCGTGGTCTTCAGTGCCGATCAGTAACGTGACGTCAGTGGCGGCCTCTGGTGACAACACGCGAACGGTCACCTCGTGAGCCACAGCCACAAAGTACACCGTCTGTGAAAACCAGTGTTCGTAATTATCAAAAAAATATTTTTTTGGACAATATCAGATATTTTTCCGAGAAATATCTGAAAATTATCCGTAGTTACTGGAAACAATTAAAAAAAAAAATCAGAAAGGCATTCGCAATCGTATAAACTTTATTTTTGTAGCTTTTGATTATGAAAATAAAACAATAAAGTACCTGTGAAATCACATTGAAGAAAAAGTGAAGTGAAGACAAATATTTTTTATATTAGTAAAAAATAATAGTAGTAAAAGAAAGTTGTCTAGGACAACTATCTCTATCAGAAAAACCATGTTTAATCATAGTTTAATGATGATTCCCGTTTAATAACAAGTCCAAAAGTATGAAAAGAGTTGTTTAGTATTTCCTAATTATATATTTATTTATTAACGAACAGCAGAGTCTTAGCAATAGTCCCGTTTTACCCTCTGGATACGGAAACCCAAAAACCCATCAGGTTATAATAAATCTCGCGAGATTATGAATTCTTGAAAAACTGTGATCCGTAACATACTTCTACTATTTGATAAATTTCAAATCAAGAAAAATCTTTCACGGTCAAACTAATCGCGTGACATCGTATACCACAAAAACCAGTAGGCATGTAGAGATTAGTCATTGTCAAGATGGTTAAAGACAGATAATAGATATCATTTAGCTCTCATATAATATGACTTGTCCAAAGTTACAGGCAAATAACAAAACAATATATGAATTATTTTGTAAAATAGCACAAACAAATATAGTATATAATAACAAACGCCAAATGTAGATAATCGCTTACCATCGGTGTTTCATCCTCAGATTCTTGTGGAGTAGCTCGAACGGTGGCCGGAGAAAATTTATGACAAGATCGTGGAATCAACGTATATGTACCAGCTTTGGGCACACATTGTTCACTAGCGCCCTCTGGCACAGATAACGTGCCCGTTACGCCTTCTGGACCACTGTATTCCACCTGATGAGTGAAAAAATATTTATTTTTATTTATCACTAGCTGTTTTACCGCTACTTAGCCCGTTATAGCGTATGTCAACCCCAGATGATGAAGCTTAAAATAGGTGAAAGGATTTTTAAAATCAGTTCAGTAGTTAGGAGGCTATTCAATGTAAACAAACAATCAAATATTTATTCTTTATAATATAGAATAGATTATTTCATCGAAAATTGAAGACGCAACTAAAGATCCATATAGGCAACGAAATATTTTGATTGTATAAAAAATAGTGTGCAGAGGGTGTAGGCCCTGATACTACTGTTTTAAATGAATTTCAATATTTCTTTGAAGGACAAATAGAATAGGACCTCAGGTGTCATGTTATTTCGTATCGTATGTAATTTGGACAATGGGGGTGCAGACAGTATATGAAAATAAATACATTTTTTTTCTCTGGTAGTGTTTAATATGTTATTACTGCTAATCACTTATTATATTTATACTATTGCTCAATTAAATTATAAAAATAAAACAAATACTTATAATCACGCGTCACACGACCGCAAACAGCGCGTGACGTCACGCCCCTCTTACTCATATCAGATATAGGGAATGAACCATAAACATAGTTATCATTATAGTTTTAGAGGTTCGTGACGTCATAGCGACGCCATGACAAAACTTAGCGTTTTCAGGGGAAATTTTGAAAGTTTATTTTCTGATTTTAACTTATGAGATGATCTATAAATATCTGTATATCTAAAAAAAGTCGTCGTCTACACCCCTATTCAAAGTGCTCGTTAAAATATAGAGTATACTTTCATTCTACACACCTGTACTGGATGTGAAGCTCTCAAACGGAGGATATAACCGGTATGAACGAAGTCCGGAGCTTGAACCTTGTCCCCGGCGATCGGCACTATATGCGACCTCTCGCGCCAACACAGACGAGTACCCCCCACCGATACTTCCGCGCTACCGGCTGTCACTTCCGGAAACCGGTATTCACCATCTGTAACCGTGATTAACGATCAATTACACCGTGATAAATATCAAAGTGCCGTTTAAAAATCCCGTGTTTTAAAAACATTAAATAAGCAGAATTTTTGTTTCAAATATATTTTATCTATAGCAAAATTTACTTGCAATTTATAATCTTTGGATGCGAAGACGGTGCATCGGGTGACGTCACATTTCAAAAACTAAACGTGGCGGCTTTGTGGCGAGAGTAACCAGTACTCATGTTTATTGTAATGTGACGTCATGGCTCGAAATGTCACGTAACTTATTTTTTTCGCCGTACAATTTAATTGAAAGAATAAAAATATGTTTATCCTTTATTTAATAACACTTTTAGGAGATAAATAAATCTCATTGTAATATAATATGATATAGGAAAGTTTACTACACATTTCACATTGATAATAAAATGTTCATATTGAGTTGCCGTGCCAAATTAATATATACCTGTGACTGTAGTATCGCGTGGGTTTCCAAAATAAGCTCCATCTGGCGACAAAGCACGCAAACGGATTGGTAACGCGACGCAATCCGCCGCACGTTTGCAACGCACTTTCCCACTCACCGTTCCCTTTAATTGGGAGAACGATATACCCTCCACTGGTCCGTTCCCTACTGTTATCTTGTGTGATAGCGGATAGAATCTGAAATATATCACATTGTTTTAACATCTTATACATTATTCGCACATATGTTCTTAATCTACTTATATAGTGTAATGTTATAACGTCTTGTTAATTTATATATTTTTTTAATTAGAACTTGATTAAAAGTATTGGCCGCCTAAAGCAAATTGACAATAACGATAGCGAAAGCATCAAGTTGAGATATGTTGATTTATTTTGGCCTGATAATGGTTTAAACCTGGTACTATAGTTCTTGTTTTATATTAAGACGGTTTGGGTCTTAATCTAGTCTTACAATATGTGATGTATTTCAAGAAGCCTAAGATTGTGTGATTTTGTGAAGATTTATGTTCATATTAATTTTAAAACCTACCAAGCGATGGACTAGCTCGCACGTGTGCCAGGATATCGATATCACTGAGGTCCTGGATTAGATTCCAGGTCGAGTCGATGTAGAACATTAATTCTATGTTATTTCATATCTGAGCGTTATGGAGTCTCAGGGTGGTGGCAACTTTGTTGTTTCAGAATTCCATAATACAAGTGCTATAAGATATTTCACTTAAATTTGAACCTTATTCTAATATTATGTAATTAAATAAATAAAGGATAATTTTTTATATTCGTGTGACAGAGGGTTTCTAAAGTTTTTATTTTCAAAATACATACTGTAATCCTTCTCTTTGCTCTTGTTCAGATAAATCAACTTTAGCAGAATATACTCCTGAGGGAAGGAACGTGCACCATTTTCCTAAAAATAAAAAACAATCGTGTTTACAAATAGAAAAAGAACATACCTATTTACCCAAAAATCTAGAATCCTTTTTTAAGTTGGTCAGAAATATTATAATAACTTAAAATATGCAATAAAAAAAACTGTAGGAAAATCGGTAAATTCTATTAGTAACTGTCAGGACCAAGGAGGAACCATAAGTAACACCATAAGCCTCTATAGACTTATTTTTCTGATCACCAATGTTGCAGGTAAATTTTTTCTTTCAAATAGACTTACCTATACATATTTGATTCAATAATTTTTTTTGACAAAAGACAACATTATTCTAAGTGACAACTACGTATATGCTATGAAGTCAGTTAAAATACAATTTTTTTTATGGAAAAATGTTTAAAATATCCAATGGCGACTGCTCTAACCACTGAGCTACCCAGGACTTAAAAGGTCTGAGGCAATTTTCAAGCAGTTGTTACTTTTTCGCTACTACAGAGCGTATTTTCATCGGAAATATTTTTACAAATATTTAAACTTTCTATAAATATGTTCTAATCATTATATATCATCAATTTTGTATTCATAATGCTATACTGTATATGTATATGCATTTGAAAGGTCATGAGTTTGAGTACCATTTCATAGTGCCAGGTACAAAGTGGATTTTTTAAGCATTTTTCATCAAGAATATTTTTCAGTATAGCATTGTGAATACAAAATTGATCAAATATACTTTTCTGAAAACCACATCAAAATCGGTTCAACCAAATGAGGGAGAGATAATAGCGGATGAAGTTACATACATACTTTTTTGAAGTCAGTCAAAAACTTTCGTAGTAAATGACTAACGAACATAATTTCTTTGTACAATATAAAAATTGAGCTCATTGTTCACAGTTATTATTAGAGTAGCTCGGTGGTGTAGTGGACAATCGCCGCGGCCCGCGATCGTTGTTGTTAAGCAACTTTCGCTATGGTCGGTCACAGGATGGGTGACCAAAAAATTATTATCTCGAGCTACTCCGTGCTTCGGAAGGCACGTTAAGCCATTGGTCCCGGCTGCATTTGCAATCGTTAATACCTTCCAATCCGTATTGGGCCAGCGTGGAGGGTCATGGCCCATCCTCCTTAGCCATCCATAAGGAAGGCCTGAGCGCTTGCAGTGGGGACGTGAAAGGGCTGATGATGATTTGACATTTCATGTTACCTCCGCTATCAGGCGCCACGTGTACAGCGACGGTGGCGCCCCCCCTGTCAGGTTGTATAGTGAGACGCCGCGCGCCCGCCGGCGCCACAACGCCACAAACGCGCCACCGCGACGCGACAGCCGCGGGGGGGCGCGCCCCGCTAGCAGACACTTGCAGCTGCACCGGCTCCACCTCGCATTGCTCTGTACACAAGAGTTAATCTATACTAATCATACAAACTCGAGTAGCTCGGTGACGTAGTGGATAAGCGCCGCGGTCCGTGATCGTTGATGTTAAGCAACTTTCGCGAGGGTCAGTCACGGGGTGGGTGACTAAAAAATTATATATCTCGGGCTACTGCGTGCTTCGGTAAGCACGTGAACCGTCGGTCCCGGCTACATTTGCAGTCGTTAATACCACATAATAATATAGTAGCGAAACTTGAGCCATTTCTGGAAATAAATACCTACGCTGCATTGGACTGTCTTATTAAAAGCAGTTAGTAATAAAACAACACTGAAATTTTAAAAGATTTTATTGGTTTTAATTTTAATTTATTGTACTTTAAGTTGCACACTAAACAGTGTTTTTGTCTGTTACGACTCGATCTGAATGCTTTATAATTGAATTAGGCTGTTCTTACTACAGACTTAATCAATTCGGTCCAGTAACTAAGAATTTCAAAATGGCGGTAGATGTTGTTTTACTGATTGACATGTTAATTTTCCGGTTCGGTTTTTAAGATTAAAACAACCAGAGAAAATAGTTTGTTTGCAAACATTTCCTAATTCAGACAGTTAAATATATTATTTAATTAGAGGTTTTTTTTATTAATTAGAAATAGGCAACCAATTAACATTCTGACTACTGTATTGTACATATCTATAATTTATATCGATTATAACAATAAATTATTAGTCTAACCTTTCAATATGGAAAGTAATTTTAAAAAACGAAAGGTGCACATTTGAAGACGTAAATGCGTCCGTCTCTGTGTGCACATGAATTCGACCGTTGTTCTTAGTTGCGCTACTGTATTATTCTGTATTAATCCCATCCTCCTTAACCATTCATAAGGAAGGCCTGAGCCCCTGCAATGGGGACGTAAAAGGGCTGGTGATGTTGAAAGATTTGATTATTTGTTTGTTTGCAAGAAATAGTCTCCGCAACTATTGGACCAATTCAACATATCCTTTCACTCATAAGAAGCTACATCATATGTGGTGAACATAGGCTATGTTTTATTCTGAGAAACAGCAAATAAAGGGATTAAAATGGCAGCGGAAGTTTGTATGGGGAATTAAAAGGTTACCATAGTAAACATAGTTTACTATTCGATTTGTCATTGTAATTATATCCATGTCATGATGTGAATCGATATCGAAATAAGCAGTTCCCTAGGGATCACGCGGGCGAAACCGCAGGCGGAAAGATAATACATAAATAAAATAAAATCAAACAAAATCACATAGATTGCTCAGATTCCAAGAAATGTAACTAAAGCCTTCGTATTATGAAGCATCTGATACAACGAAGGTACCACAATACCCAGACCAATGACAAAATAGAAAATATTAATATGACCAATGACAAAATAGAAAATATTATAGATATTAATATTAAATACACGCTGGGGATAACGGTGCTGGTTGTAGAATAAGTAATATGCTATATTTTAAGGCTACACATTTTTAATCTGTATTATACAATTGTTTATTATCCTGAATAAAGCAAAATAAGTATTTTTTATACATTGTAAAAAAAAATAATAAAAAATATGCATTGTATTTATCTATCTACACTATAATCCATATAGTACACTATTGTATTGTGGCAACCTTCCGTTAGCATTAAATGGAAAAACATAACAAAAATAATAGATTGTGCATACAACTAGACAGATAAACAAATAACATTTTTTAAAAATCAAAAGAACGGTTGAAACAGCGTAAGAATCACTAATATTTGATGTCGCCAAATAGTCGATCGTTCGCTTGGCGGTGTGCGACGAGGCGTTGTCGTGGTGAAGGAGGATCCTACTGCGAGGTCGTTTCTCTCGAACTTTTTCCAAGACAAGTGGCAAACAATTGGTAGTGTACCATTCTGCAGAAACTGTTTTTTGATCCTCTAACACAATTGTTGCAAAATGACCTATCCTTCCAAAGAACGAGGCCACCATTTTTTTTCCCGCACTTCGATCTCTCTTCACTTTAGTTGGCAACTCCTCGAAAGGAAACACCCACTGAGCAGATTGTCTTTTGGTTTTAGGATCATAACAGTAAATCCAGCTTTCGTCACCTGTTAGTATGTCGAACACAGCATTTGAGTCACCTCCGTTAAATCTTTCAATCATTTTACGACACCAATCCACACGATGGAGTTTTTGAGCCTCAGTCAAATTATGAGGTATCCACCGGGCGCAAAGCTTCCTGACCGCTAAATGTTCGTGGAGGATTTTGTGCACTTAAGAGTATATCTAATGTACGATAAAAATGGTCAGGAACAAGAGCAGAGAGAGAAGTAAAAAAAATAACTATCGTAAGGGCCGTTCATAGGGTGGAAGAACAAAACATTATTATGTTGAGCTCCTCCGTGCTTCGGAATGCAAGTTAAGCTGTTGGTCCCGGCTGCATCAGTATTCGTTAACACCCACCAATTCGCATTGGTCCCGCGTAGTGAGTCATGGACAATTGATACTACTCGATTCGATCTCAACTATTCTCCTGATATAGTTTGCCACGCAGACGAAGTCGCGGGCACAGCTAGTAATTAATAAAAAAATATATTTATTTTCGTTTACTGTATATACCTGCATTATCGAACCAAATTTACTAGCCATTACAGAACTTCCCAACTGCAAACCTTCCCAGTAATTATGTTTAACATATTTTATGAAATTGTATAATAGTAGTTTATGCAACTGTTATATATGAAGGGGTATTAAAACACGAGAGTCTGTTTATCGCATGAGGCGAAGCCGAATGCACTACTCATAGGAAAAATTGAAATTAAACAAAGTAATCAGTAAACAAATTAAACAAAAGCACGATCTGCAAAAAAATGTATGGGAAGCGTGGGAAATTAAGTTCAAACTAAATTATTAATAGTAATTCGAATTTATCGATTTGAGTGTAGATAAAAAGGATTATTAACATCAAAGAAGACAAGACGCGAAGCAAGCGAATCATGGCGCTAAAAGAATAAAATACAACTCACCATGTTGAAAAGTAATAGAATATGTCCCAGGCTGCAATTGGGGCAACGTGAACTTGCCGTTGACATCAGTGTTTCCGATCGCTTGTTTATCGAGGAGCACTCTAGCTTTGGATAAACCTTCTCCACCAATGGATTTGACAACAGTTCCTACTACTGTAAAGCCATGCACCTGAAAATACACATTTTCACTTGTACACTATTGAACGAATTTAAAGTCATTACTATTTTATCTCCAAAATTTAAGTTGAATTATTGCCAACTATAATAATTTAATTAGAAAACCAGCTAAGTGAAAGTCAGTCTCGCGCATGAAGGATTCCATAAAACTAAGAAACGAAAAAGAAACCCGTGTGTTATATGTGATTTACCTTAAATATTGATTTTTAGTATTGATTATTATAGCCGCAACAGAAATACATTATCTGTGAAACTTTCAACTGTACAGCTACATACCTGCAAAGCTTCATGATATACAGCATGATGGCAGATGGAAAATGTAACTCAGTAATAAAGTCCCGTTTTTACCTTTTGGATTCAGAACCTTAAAAATTATAACATAGTAAAACAAAACATGTTTACACAAGTGTCTGTGTAAACATGTTTTGTTTATAAATTGCGTAATTTATTTACCTCAAATGCGTTTCTTATGAAGAGGCTGTCGTGAAGAACACTGAATGGAACAGATTCTGGTTTCACATTATAGCTGATGGAAGCTTGACCAGGAGAAGTGGAGAGAGTCAACAGTTTATAATTTCCAGCAGGCACCAGGCCAAAACTGAATTCACCATTGTTGTCTGTTATAGAATAACAAATTGGAGAATCAGGGACACCTTGCAAGAGTGCAGTTTTGCACCCCTCAACACGAAGTTGCTGATTTGTCTAAAAATAAGAAAATTTCTAATAAATAAAAAAATATACCTTAAAATAATCTTGACAAAAGAGGCTACTAGTTAAAAACCGTTAATCAAATCTGCTCATTTGTTTCCAACTATAATGATAAGTATAAATAATTTGAAAAAATGGCTACCTAGTCCTGACAAAGTGCTTATAGCTCTGAAGCTGCTTAACATATTCTCATTATACATATACTAAGAACCACTGCAATGAACAAAGTATATTCGTTTAGAAAAAAACAATTCATTACATAATAACTACAGTGCTACAGACAATCAGGTTAAACTTATAACACCCCGCTTTTTGTGTTGGCTATTTAATGTATATTAATAACAACAAAAATAAATAAATAATAGACAATATCACATATATTAATCAGATACCAAACTAAGTAACTGAAAACTTTACATAATCTTCAGCTTAAGCAACAAAACTATCACAAATGATAAAAAAGAAACATTATTTTTTACTTTGCACTAATTGGGAATCAAATAGGGACCTGTAAAATGAGACCACCTTGAAACTGAGTGAGTGATACATTTGGACATGGAGGTTAAATATGAGACCTATTAATACAAAATTAATATTCTAATAATGTAACCTGTACATTTTATAACAAAAATTCAACTTTAACTAATAATTACTAATTTTATTGAAGAGCATTTCAGATTAGATTTGATATAGAAAATACATACCTCCTTAGAGTAGAGAAGTACATGCAGACCGCTCAGAGGAGCTCCAAATGAAGTAACTGAACCTCTGACATCATATCCTTTGACAGCTAACACTCCTACTGGAAGTGCAGTATTACCCTCTGTCACTTGTACAACAGCTTGTGAGGGTTCCAACTTCCATCTATAAAGAATTTGTATGTAATGTTTACAAAAGACAGTATTAATATCTATTTCTATTTTAAGTATTCAAAACTAAAACAATGACTAAGCATAAGTTCGACTCACATACAAGGGGTTCATAGTAAGTATTAATATTAACTCAACAATAGTCTCAAGTGCCTTACATTTTAATAAACAACTTTTAAAATTTTTAGTACATCAGAATGACTTGTTAATCTGAACAGCGTAAAAATTTTGATAGTCAAGCACTGCCATACCTAGCACATTTAGTGAAGAACATTTAAATTTTTTTATGGTTTCAAAGATTACCCTCTGCATACAAACAAATTCCCTAAAAATCTTTTTAAATAAAATAAATTCATGAAATACCTAGGATGCGAAGCCTTAAGTGTATATTTTCCTGGAATCACAGGTGTAAAGTGAAAATCACCACTAGCAGAAGTCACTGTATTCCTTACTTCTCCTTTTTGATTTATCAGCTGTACACTTATTCCACTAGGGCCTTGCTTTTGGCCAGCAGTAATCACTCTCCCAGTGATACCAAACCCGTTGAAGGCAAAGTTAATATCTTGTCCTGTAGAACATTGATCTGTTGTTCCATCAACAACCAACTTTACTTGAGAAGGCTCGAAACTCCAACCTGCTGGCGGATGAACTTTGAGAATATACTCTCCCTTCTCATAGAGTGGCAAGAAATAGTAACCATTTGTTGGAGCACACTCTGTCTTCTCCTTCAAACTTCCCTCTTTTGTGTACCTAAAAAAAATTATAAAGTATTACTAATTAATTAATAAACTACTGTATTTAAGGAATTTAAAGGAAAATCTAATTAGTCCAAATCATATAGGTTAACTTACAAGCCAATCTCGATTTTTGAGAAGTCTAAAGTTACATGACTTTTAACAAATCCACCACAACCTAAAATATCATTTGCAGTAACATTTTCATTCCTAAACAGTAAAATTATTATTAAAATACTAAAACGAACGACACTAACGACCGGGGCCATTTCTTATTTTTGACATAGATTAGTTACGTACAGACAGACAGAGGTGTCCAAAACGACTAAAAATCATTAACGCGCTATAGTTTAATGTAATGACAATATTTTTTTAACGTGTTAATGAAGGCGCTAATTTATTAACGCATTAATTCAAAGAAGCGTAAGGGTGCGTGAAGACTCGTTAAATTTTGTGGTACGCTAAACCTTGTAACACGTTAATTATTTAATATTGTACGTTAAACAGATTACGTGCTATATTAAACAATAACTCATGATTATTTAGTCTGAATAGTTCGAAATAAATTATAGCAGTACATACTAAATTAAAAGAAAATCGATAAACTTCCTATAACAGTTTTCAGGCTTACGACTGTCTATAATTCAATTATAGGCATATTTAAAAGTTTATTGACTTTATGTACAAATCTATTACGTACATTATGCTATCATATAGTTTATTCACATTATTTACTCACAATATAATTGTTTTAAACAACCATTTACAATCTATATACATACAGAAACTTCTTTAAACATACACAGAATAACAAATAATTACCCTTCTAATCTAAAGTATTTAAAATATAAATTTAGTAAGCTTTGTTAAAACCTATGTTTTAACAAAGCTTATTAAGTACAGGAGATAGGATTGCGCGTAATAATTAGGTACCACTTAGTGTTAGTGTCCGAGCATTAGCAATGACACGTCTGCCAACGATCGCGGTCTAGTTTCATTCGTTCGTTTGATCGTTGAATCGATTTGGAATTTCACGCGTGAATCGTGTTAGCGCGTGAAATTATTAGCGCCCTACTTAGCAGTGTTAATCGTTAAGAGAGAAAAGCGTGTTAAACAACACGCTGGATGCTAATTTAACGTTACGTAACAAGTTTTTTTAAAATCAGAAATTAGAGTTGCCCTACCTATCGATAGACTTGCATAAGTGATAACGATTCTGTCGATGACTAAACATTTATAAATCTGTTTTGCTTTTTATTTTTATTGTCATAAAACTAGTGTCCGATATCTATTATGGTGATATTATGGTTAACTGGTATTAAGTGCCTTATATACTAAGTCCACTCTTTGTGTTTTTAATGCAATCTATAAATATATTTTATAGAGATTAATGCTTCTAATTAGAGATTAATAAAAAAGATTATTATCAACATAAAATATTTACGTAACTACACTCGTGGGAGACCTAGGTCCCGCAAAAAAACGTACCTCACAAACTTCCAACGCTAGCACGACGCACGTCTGCACCCCGACAGCTTTCAGGAGTCACTGGGAATACTCGAAACCGCGACCGCGTCGCGTTCAAAATATTTGTATAATTTGCAAAAAAGAGCGCTGGGGGACCTAGGTCCCCCACGATCGGTATTAAGGGTTAAACAACCACCGTCAGATCATATTGGACAAATAGTAAGCTTTCCGCAAGCTTTCCGCATAAATGCACGTTTGTGGCTAGGAGAGAGTTGTGTTGTGTCAAAAAGTATGAGTCGCTTGGAACGTTTTAAAAATCAATGAGATATCCCAATAATTTGTACAAAGATTTCTTTGATGTTTATTGTACAGAATTCAATAAGATTTTTGTCCCAAAAAAAAATTGTATTATAATGCTATAACTTTTAGTATGTGGGCTATTGGCTAACTTTGACATCAAAGTGTGCAACTGACAATTCGTTGTACACTGCGATTTGATCGCAACCAGTTTCTCACTAACATTGGTATTGCGTATCATAGTAGTTGGACATCAACTAACGGTGCTTTACGGTGCCTTATAAGTGTCATTCGACAAACCTCTTGACTCCTCTATTTTTTATCGACGTTATGCGCCGAAATTTAGTTGCGTGTCCAAAGCACATCCATTAATATGAATTGGAGTTATTATTATTTAGACGGGTTATTTACCTGTTTGACTCTTGAAAACAAAAATGTTTGAAATATTTGGCGCTAAATTCATATCAACTTGGACTTTCGTCAAGTTAAAAGGTGTTAAGTTAGTGTTGTTGAAAGATTTAATAGTCAAGGAATAAATGTAAGTAAAGCTTTTATATATTTTCTAGTATTGTTACTGTTTTTTCGTGTTAATATTATTGTTCGCATGCATTTAAAATAGATTACGATTTACGAATATTCCATTGGAGAAAATTTGTCGCTTTCATTATTTTATATAGATACGAAATAATATTACCTCTAGTTTAGTGTTTAATATTAGTAACTGTTTATTATGTTGTAATATATTTCTTGAATGATCATTTCTTTATTTGGTACCTAACATTTCAGATGCCGGCAAAGAGAAAACTGTCTCAAAGACAGCTAGAAATCCTCCTAGAATTTTCGGAATCTCATCAGGAAATTGCATTAGGCCGCTTCTGTGGTGGTCCGCTATCGAACCAAGCTACAAAGCAAGCTTGGGAAGCAATAGCGCTCCAACTCAATGCAGTGGCTGATGGGATTACTAAAACACCTGACCAATGGCGGAGAGTAAGTTTATAATTAATATTTCTTAATATTGTATAGCAGATTCCTTCAATGATTTTCTGTTTCAAGTCTAAAAAAGGGATATTTTATCGCCCTGCATAGTTTCATCCACTTGAGAGGGTGAAGCCACTCAAAAAGATTTGTTTAAATATACTCTAAAATCAACCTTATGTTTAAATAATTTTAAAGGTGCATTCTCAGTATTGATCTTTCTAATACTTTTAACTTCAAGTTTTGTTTAGCTAAATTATTACTTACTAACACTAGTTGATAAGTTTTTTTATTGTACCTTATACTAACCAAATATGATCTACTTATAAAAATGTTTTTCGATATAAATATTATTCTTAAACTAACTTTTTATTGTTTTTTTCAGTATTGGATAGAATTTAAAGCCAAGGTTAAGGCCAAGGCCGCAGATGTTAGGAGGAGTGCATCGGCTACAGGTGGAGGGCGAAGCAAACTTATTCCTCTGAGTGACTTCGATCAAAGGGTGCTAGCCCTCTTAGGACCTGTAGCAGTGGAAGGACTGCCTGGCGTTCGTATTCCCGTTGAAGTTAGTAACTTTTTTAGATTTTCTAAGTGGTGTGCTAATTCTAAGTCTTCAAAAAACTAACATGTGTAAAAAACATTTGTTTTTATTTTAGTTGCCAAGTACATCAACTACCCCACAACCATCTCCTGATGTCTTATCACCAGCAATGGAAGTGGAATGGTTAGATGAAGCAATGGGTGGGACAGCTAGCGAGGAAGTGGAGCAAGAATTGGTTCAATGTGGTGAGCCTCCAGTTGATTCTGAACCTCACTACTCTGAACCGATTCCGGAGCAGACTAGCAGAGTAATAGCTGAAGAAAGTAAGTACCTACCTCCTTTTCCTTTGTCTTACTACTAATATCATAAATAATATTATAAATGTTAAAGTAATTTCATGAAGTTACAGAGAAGATAATAATAGAATTCATTTATTTTGACAACATGCATCATATAAATAATTTACATTATACAATGTATTTTGATATAAATTTTTACATAATATTAATATAACATTATTTAATTATATATAATAATTCCTTTAGATATTTTCTTTGTTTTGCTATGATTGACTTGTTTATTTAAATAATTTAAATTTTCAGGTACCGCTCCAGCTCCAGCTGTTCAAGTTCCACACAATATAAGAAGACCCAGGGCACAAAGGCAAAGTATGTTATAGTTTAATTATATTTATTTAATGAAAATTTTGTAAAATATGTCATTTATACAAGTAGGAATCCAATGAAATGAAATGTCTCAGTAGATTTCATAAAACATTATTCTTATGCATTACAGTTCGTCGACATGAAGGCGTTCCTCGATGGGCTTACGAGTTGGAAGAAAGGCGCATTGCCATCGAGGAGAGCCGTATTGTCATTGAGGAGCGACTAGCTAGAGTAGAGGAGCGTCGTGCTGCTTCTATGGAGACAATAGTTAACCTTTTAACAGTTTTAATAGAATTAATTAGAGAAAGAAATTTCAATATTTAAACCTTCTCTAATTAATTCTGTTACTTCTTTATTTAGTTCATAGAATCAAATGTAAATAGTAATATTTAATTTTATACTATACAGTTAGTTGTTATAAGCCTTCTCTAATTAATTTTATTAAATCTGTATTTTCATAATTTAGTTCATAGGATTAGGTGAACATTGTATTTGTTAATTTTATTATAAACTTTTAATTGTAATTGTTACTTAAAGAATGGTGGCTGTGGAAGAAAATAATAAAAATACAGATACAAGATAATAACATTAATAACTTAGGTAAACAAACTTAGATGGTAAAAATAAAAGTCTTTATAGGTTTGTACATGGTTTTATTATTGTTTTGTTTCTATTTTATTTTATTTCGCTAAGAATTCGTTATTGTTAGTTATTTTTAAGATTTTATTAAATCTATGAGCAAATTATGTTGATTTAAAAATATTATTTTTGCCCTAACTAGAATAATTTACCACCAGTTCCAAGTTGGAACCTGTCTGAGAAGAACTGGCGAAACAAACTCAGACAGGCTCTTGAGCCATGATATGAAGATATGTATCTCTATTTTAATAAATTATTATAAAAATGGGTTTACCACAATATACTACTAATACCAAAAATTTCTGAGTTTAATTATAAACCTGATTTCATATCAATTATTCAAAATAGGCATTCTCTCGAAGAAAAAACATGCAGTTGTGTCTAAAATTCCTTTAAACTATTAATAATAGTTTTACAAATACCTAGGCCATAATCTGATAATTTTTTTAAGAGTAAACTCAAATTGGCCTCCGCCTTTCTTTAAATTGTTATAATCAACAGCATGCAGGACTATAAATTTACTATCAATCATGTTCTTGCCTGCCATAATCTGGTAACGAGAACATCTCTAGAGGTATCGGTTAGTGTGTCAACTCTAGCTGCCACACTACTGATTTGGTTCTCTTGGTCACGGTTAATATTCTCATCTAGCAAATCAGGCATCGGAACACTTTGTGCAATCGCAATATTGTGTAGAACAACACATGCATTAACTATTTTTCCAGCAGTAACTGGATCATAATGA